TCATTGTCAAAACTTTACCAATGCTCTTAAAACCTTGATAGCCTATTGTCAAAAAAATTATACCAATGCTCTAAAAACCTTGATAGCTCATTGTCAAAAATTACAACCAAGTGATCATGCCCCAAAAACCTTAATGACTCATTGTAAAACGATTATTTCCTACCCCTGTCGGTATTAACCCTTTAATTGTGCTGGATGGTATCAGCAGAGTTAGTCCCTTATTGATGGCTAATTAATGGATAGTTGATACTTATTGATAGTGCCCTATTGACCTATTCAGATCCCCTGAGGGTGTGAACCCTGACCCCTGAGTTGATGAAAAGGATCAGTTTGATGTTATGTCAGTGAAAATTAAAACCAGGTTTGGTGTTACATTGCTAATTATATTATAACAGTATGGTGTAACATTGATTAGGTCATGCACAGGGTGTTGACCTTACTCTACTTTATTTACCAAACCCATACAAACCTCTTTCTGGGATCTCATTAGTTAATTAGTCATAATCAAACAAGTACATGACCCTTTCAGAGATTTTCATATACAAACTTCAAATTTTAGTTCTTGAATTTTCATTTCTTTATCAAAACTATTTTGTAGCTGATTATGTATGATCTTCTGAATTCTTTTTCAAATAAATTATTATTAATATTAAAAATTATAAAATATTATTTTCTTGTCACGGAGAATCTTCACAGATATTTGTAGATTAATTTTCAGGGGAACATACAAAATGTTATATCTATTTTTTGGGGAAAACTTGAATTTTATATCTTCCTTCTAGATTTCACAAAGTTAATAGTATCTTATATTTGAGAGACTACTCAACAATTTTTATTTCATTTTAGAGAGTTCACAAAGTTGATAATTTAATCTCATGTCGAACCTGGTAATTATTTTTTTTTTCAGAAAACATAGCTGATATTATTAGATTCAGAGTGTCTACAAAAAAAGATATTATTTTGGAGGATACACTTGTGCTTGATATAACACAGTTAAATGTTAAATTTATTTTAGAGAGTCCACACAGCTTAGAGCATTTACATGGTCTTTATATCTTTATCTAATAGAGTGTGTCCATGAATATTGAAATTTATCAGTTCAACTTATTTCTCAATTCTTTATACCAATTATCTATTTTTAAACATGATTAATGATGATGCATAATTTAGCCTAATTAGGTAAAAGACAATTGAAGAAGGAAATCTATAAACTATAAAAAATGAATTCATTTCCCTAACCTGCCAGTATGTCAACGATAAGAAAATATGATTTATGCCAAGGGACAGTATGACATCAGACCTGCCGTGTTTTTGTATTGACTGACATGTCAGTGACGTGCGACACATGTCATTTTAGATTTTATAAATAAACAATGAATAAATGAATTAAATATTTATTGGTAAGTTAGAATTAGATGTGAATGAATAAACAACGAACGAACAAATGAACGAACAAATGAATGAACAAATGAACGAACAAACAAACAAACGAATGATTTAATGAAACATTAATTCAAGCCAGTTTTTGGACATGGATACTAAATGTTTAAGCTAATAGAAGGATGAAAAACAATATGTTAAAATAAACAAAGGAGAAGTAAACAACAACATAAATACATGACAGTGACTAAGTTCAGGGCCAGATAATACATGAATTTTAGATAAATAAAAACATAGAGAGAGAAAATATACCTGTTCATAAGAACTTACAGTTGGATTTACAGGCCAGCATCAAAATAACAAGATCTTTGAGATGGCTCTCATTCCCATTGAATATAAACCTATATAGTTGTGTTGAAACTGTTGAGTCATTAAAATTGATAGAAACAAAAATGTCTCCCTTCAACTACAAGGGCTAGTCAAAGTTTTGACCCTCTTTTGACCATTCTCATGTGACCAGCCATAACCATAAGCCTCACTTTCCACAATTAACATGAGTTATGAATTAACAATAGTTAGTTGTCTATTATCACCACAATATTTGTAAACAATTGACTTTAACCCTGTACCTGCGCCTTATGTTGAACATTAAAGGCTTAACATTGAGACCTAGATCAGAGCTTTCATTGAGACTCCTCTTAATACTGATCATTAATTAACCCTCTAAATGCTAATAATAAGTTTGATCTGTCCACAATTTTAATTTGATTGATAATCACCTTATTTTATTCTTTTAACTTCTTTTCTCTTATATCTTAACCCTCCTTCTAGCTCAACCTTGTCCACTAATTAACCCACTTAGGGCTAGTAACAGATATGACTTGTCACTTGACTGAATAAAATTTCAATTATCAATGCACATTTTGATATTAGTGAGCAGACATATTCCTGAGTATCCTAAGAGTTTATTGGAGTTAAAAATATGCAAATATACTACTAAATAGAAATGGGAAGTAATTTCACTTAGTAAAGTATTAAATCCTCACCTCTGCCCAGATCAAACCCCAGTTAGCGAGTTGGATTGTCGTCAGCTAGGCGATAAGGCGCCATGGGTTTGAATCCTCCTCACGGTAAGAAAAATTCTAATGCCTGTGTCTGTGCCTGTGCTTCCAAGAGTCTGATGTCGGCTCTCACCCCCTTATACCTAGAAATGCAGCAAAATTTCCTGTTCAACTCTCCATAGCTCTTCACTGTAGTTCTTTGTAAACCACTATTTGACTATTTGTAGCCTATTTATTAGCCTAATTGTTTATGAATAAACTAAGCATTGAGAAAGGAAATAATTTAACATGACCCAGGCCACTGACCTAATTCACTTCCTGATATTTTATATTGTTCTAACTTTATATTAGGTCAAATAGGTCACTAGTCATGTGGTACATTTGTTTCCAATCTGGAACTTAAAGTTGCAACACCACTAAATATTAGATTGGTATGTTCAAGGCTGTACCACTTAGCCAGTTTTACACAAAACAAACCACAATTACACTTGCACATTTTCAAGTGATTTCTTCAAATGTAGTGTAAATGAAAACTGTTCCTTGTTACGGTTGGCATTATACCATTTCATACAGTCAATTTTGAACTGTTTGAGGTGTGCCAAAACTGGAATGGTTCTCAGAAAGCTTACCTGTTTAAATGACACAAAATTCATCTGTGTTATTCTTAAATTGATTCTGAGGACAGCTATTTTTGGTAATGTAAGTATTGGATAAGTCTGAATTCAGTTCAAAAGGGTCACTGATCATGTGGTACATTTGTTTCTAATTTGAGTGTTAAAGAGACAATGCCATTGGAATAATGTTGACTGTAGTTCATTAAGTCATTGGTTTTGTGTTAAATTTGTTACAATTTTGTTGTTAAAGAGATGTACAACTTAGATAATTATTGAAGAGGCGTAGTCAAATGGAAGCTGATGTTGAAGATCCAATAAAGGTCAAAAGGTAAATTTGTTTCAAATTCAGTATAATAGCAGTTAAAGTTTTTGTCCCATTGATCCATGGGTCTGGTCAAATTATATGCAGTTTTATCTTTCATAATCTTGGTTCCTCAAAGACAACTGGCTGTAATTTTAGGTTTATTCTACTAAAAGAATTCGTTTTTTCAGTAATAATATTTTTCAAAACTATTGTAATCAAACTAATTTAAATTCAACTCACAAGAAAAATAAAAACTAGACAACTGTATCCCTTTAAGTCTTGAATAAATGTTCAGGACAAATGTTTTTATCAAGGACAAACTCATTCAGAAAAAGAAACGCTTCCTGCTGGTACCAATTATATTTAAACTGAGCTGAAAGTTTCTGCATAAAAAATAGGCAGTAAGATATTGTTTTTAAGTAAAACACCTTGTTGAGTCTTGCTGCACCAGAGAAATTAGGTTCACTGTAATCTGTTGAAATGTTTGATGGGATTAGATATCGTTTTTTGGAACATTCCAAACTATACAGGAAGCCTAGAAGGTACCGGTACATCTATTTCTCTTGCTGTTTATACCATATTTTTGTAACTTTTTAAGAATGTAAAGTATAGGCTCTGGGCACCAATTGAAAAGGGTTAATTATTTCGTGCATGTTTCATTTAAAACAAATTTTAATCATAGATTTTTTTTCTTCTTAAAAAATACAAAGAATTTCTTCTGAAATTCGGTAAAATCATGACAAATTAGGATTTCACATAATTTCATTTCATTATCTCTGGAAAAATGTTTCAATTTATATTGTCTAAATACTTGTAAAAGCTGATAGAGCTTAAAAAATATGATATATAGTTTCAGACATTCCAGCTTTCCTTTTTTTTTTCACGTCTGCAGTGGGCCAGTCAGTTTGTCTAAATTCCTTTCTGCAACAGGATTAAGCTAATCTCATTAGGCTAAGCCTAATCCCAAACCCTTCAGACAGATAATGAACCAGCATGAGTTGTTAAGACCATTTCTGTTTAGGACGGATCCATAGTATATGGACAAATTTCTAATGTTGTTATGTGTCATACAAGTCACCTTATGAGTAGCCAGGACCTATAGATTTCAGTGTCGGGCAGTCATTCAGAATTTTTTGTGTAAAATAGTATGGTTGGAATTTCAAAACTGGAATTAAATGTTGTGTAATTGTGAGCATATAATTATCCATTAGGAAGGACTTGTACTTGTTTACATGGACCTTGTTCATCAGTTTGACCTTTAAGAATTATCTGAATATTGGATATATTGGATTTTGAAGAAAAAAAAAAACAAAAAATCATTAATCTGAATACAAAAAAACCCTTAAAATTACGCAACATAACAAATTTTTGAACAACAACTAATTTAATATATATTCTCTTGGATCTTTGTTTAATTGGTTGAACCCTCAGGCTTAGGTCACACTTTAGGTACATTGCCTCGAGGATATATTCGCCCTGGATTGTTCTCTTTGATATATTTTTGAATCAACCATCAACCCTGAAGCAGTTTAGGAATATTTGTTATACAATCTGTTAAAAAACGCCCTTGAAAGTCTTAAAAAAAATCACATTATAACAACAGATTTTTTTACCAATTGTACTAAGAAAGGAATTTTTAAAATGGTGGAAGATTTACAAGGATGGCTTGGACAGAAAGAAGAACAGAACCTGTAAGTGTGGTTTCATCAACAACAATTTCAGAGTTTCAAAAGCGAAAGTTTGCTGGTGTTTTTTAAACTTTTAGATTTACCTGAGTAGTATTTAAACTTCTGAGGCTCATAAGTCAGTTTATGTTTTGGGTGCTTTAAAAATCTTACTGTCAATTTTGTTTCAAGTATTGTATATTTCAATGTAAAAATGTTGAAAGATCTGTGCAGATCATCCCATGCTTTGACTGGACATTGAGTATTTTATCCTGCTTAAGAAATAATAGGGGAAAGACCAGCCAGAACTACCAAGTAGATTTTGATGGTGTAAATTCCATTGCTGGTATTTGCAGGATTTGTTATCCTATCAGTTCAGTGACAAATACAGGATAGGTTAACTGAAAGATTTACAGCTGGGTCAAGTGGACTTATTCAAAGTCACCAGACTCAACAAGCTGATCAAGATTAGAATTCACGTCCACCATGAGGTCGAAGATAACTTAAGCTCTATCCAATTGTGCTAGAATAACAATATTCTTTTGTAAATCCCTCGAGATATTTGTACCTATCAAATCATGTATGTCCTTATTTTTCATTTTCTGTTGTATTCACATGATGTCAAGTTGTATTATGTAAAATACACACCTCATGATTTGAAAGATGAAATGTACTTTTGCATACAAATGTTCGTTACCTTAGGCTGTGTGCAAGATGAATTGAAATTCGGTTCACTGCCTGAAATGAGGTTTTATGTCTCTTTATCTTCTGTAACAAAAATTCAGTTTTATGTCATAATATCAATACCTTATTAGGGTAATGAAATGATATGAAGTTTTATGTCCTATTGTCAATACCTAATTAGGGTAATGAAATGATATGAAGTTTTATGTCCTATTGTCAATTCCAAATGCTGAGAAAATTCTCCCTTTTAATTTGATGTCACACAACCTCAGGGTCCTTACATCATCTAGAGTGTTTAACAAAAAACTTAGAGTGGTGGTTGAAGAGTTAAATACATATGTTTTCACTATTTCAAGTGTTTGTGACTTTTCACAATTTCAAGTGTTTGTGATGTCACCCCAAAAATGTCAGAAATTTCTGAAACTATTTTATTTAAAGTGTTTATGCCCCTTTAATTTGAAATAATCTAATATAAATTGGTCATCCCATTACAAATGATTATGTGATGTCACCCCAAAAATGTCAGAAATTTCTGAAACTATTTTATTTAAAGTGTTTATGCCCCTTTAATTTGAAATAATCTAATATAAATTGGTCATCCCATTACAAATGATTATGTGATGTCACCCCAAAAATGTCAGAAATTTTTGCAACTATTTTATTTAAAGTGTTTATGCCCCTTTAATTTGAAATAATCTAATATAAATTGGTCATCCCATTACAAATGATTATGTGATGTCACCCCAAAAATGTCAGAAATTTCTGAAACTATTTTATTTAAAGTGTTTATGCCCCTTTAATTTGAATTAACCTAATATAAATTGGTCATCCCATTACAAATGATCACCCCAAAAATGTCAGAAATTTGTTAAACAAGTTTATTTAACGAGTTAGCGTCACTTTTAAATCTGAAATGAAAATAGTTTTTTTAGAATTTATAATCGGTTGATGAAGAATGTATTTCACCATAAAAAAAATTTGTTCAATTTGATAATAACTCAATATTAATTTGCTACAGGGATTTGAGATTTTAAGAGAATTGTCACCCATTTCTTATATGGGATGTTTCCTTTAAGATATCAGTATAATGAATGAATGAATAATATGTTGATTGTGGTCAGTTGGTACATAATGTGACACAATGTTACAATTTTAGTACTATGTTAAATAGTTAATTGGTCAAGGTGAATATTTGTATGGAGAGTTTGAATACTATACCATGAAAGCATTGGTTGAGGTCAAACTTACTGCAAGACTGGTAAATGACATAAATTGACAAAGAAAATGAGTAAAGGTTTTTTCTTTAATTTTTAACTTGACATGAGTATCCTAGTGATGGATTTAATTCTATTTTCTATTTAAAGGCAAAGCTCATTGTTCAAAAAATTGTTTCACAAAAATAAACTCATCTGTTATTGCATTTGAATAATGTCAAAATGAAAAATATTATAAAACTGTGGTATATACATGTACTGTAGAGTTGTTGATGCAACAGTCAGTGCACCTAAGTCTATCTATCATTTAACCTTAACCTTTATTGATAATTAAAATAAATCAAGGTCAATTCAAAAGTTCACCTAAACCAACAGGTATAGCATCAAATTAAAAGTTTGCCATCTTAAAGGGATAGGTAGGCCTTTTTTTCACCAATCATACTTTATTCTCAGAAACAAGAATTTTTTAGCTAAGCCAATCAGTTGAAGTGTTCAAAGCTTAAGGAATTATGTGATTTTTGTACATTTCTAGTATTTCTGAAGATTATTTACATATTTTCAACACTCAAATCAACCCAAAAATGGCGCATCTGTCCCTTTAAGATGTAATATAGATATGGATGAAGAAATTTCCAGTTGAATAGTGCTCAATGTAAACATAATCGTATTACAACATAGTAATATTTTTACATGGTGACATAATTCAGAAATTTTCCATTGAGTTAATTTCCATGAGCTGAATTGACACTTAACAAGAGCTCATCACATGCAGCCATCATTTTTACAGATATATATTATTCATCGATTTGTACCGTTCCACTTTTCAGTCAGATATCTGTGGTTCCTACAATTCCAATAAAACTAAGTGTTACTATCGCAAAAGCTGTAATTGATATATGTCCTACTTTTCTGTACCATGCTGCGTATGAGCAAAGTAAAAATGCAGAAAGGTTGAACTGAAGGGCATAACTGATGTGTATGTATCTTAAAACATGAAAGAAAAACTGAAAAAAAGAAAAGTCTTTAAAACTAAAATAACAAACAGAGATATTGGAGCATCAATCTAATTGTTGTGTATACTGATGTGAAATAGTTGGGCTATATGATATATTGTATTATATTGGGCAATATAAATTTAAATTCATGTGCGCCTTTAAATCCTGTTCTAGTTTATCCTACTGCTTTTTAACTGTATAAAACCCTGTCAACATGAGTGTTTTCCTTTCAAACTAGTTCACTGATGGAGGTTAGATGTGTCGTACTGGCTTTCTTGAACACAATTTTAGTTGCCGATATGTGATGCTATCTAGTATAAGTACATATTCACAATGTAAAGATCTTACAAACTTCGTTCTATATCTTGACCGCAATAACCATTTTTCTTGTATCATGCAAGACATCTATTAGATTGGATTGTATGCCAGCAAATACAGCCAATCAGAGCCCTCGACATAAAGACTCAAACATTATGGCTTATTGTTTACAGACTTTGTGTCTGTTCAATCTCTGATTGGCTATATTTGCATTTATAACATGTTAGTAATGATAATCAAAACAGAATAGGATCATGTCATCAATTCAAGCAAAACCTGGTTCAAAAGCTATGAAGCTCAGCTTTCATCAAAGTTAAATCAGGTTTACAAAATTTGGGTTGAGTGAACAAGGCTTTTATTTGAGTATTTTATTGTATCCTTTATATGGTATTTTATTTCCCTTTTTTATTATATTGCTACCCTAGTTAAAGGATTTTATTGTGACTTGAGTACTGTAAACTGCAGTTTGACCTTGACTACATCCTTTTTACAATCAACAAAATAAACATTTCAAGTATGATGTGAATACAAATAAAAAAATTTATTTAATCATAAGAAATATAGTCCTAATTTGACAACCAATTGAGTGTTAGGCTCTGTTAACACGGTCATTTTCTCTTAGACACCAAACGAAAAACCAAGGGATTGCAATTAAAGGGAGTTTCTGGATAGACCAATTACAAACAGTTGTACCTAAATATACAGCATGACAATCAAGTTATACATTTTGTTGCCACCTACAATTCTACTGCTAAAAATGCCTTTGTGATTGTCAAATGCTGTCAATTTGTTTCGATTTTGGCAATATTTCTTTTTGAATTAAGAGACATGATTTTTAGAATTAAATAACACAGCATAAATAAGTTAACAGTTGGCATATAAACAGGGAAGTCTTCTCTTTTAAGATGTATTGAATGAGTTTCTAGATATATTTGAAATTAATTATTTTATTTGGGTGACAGTTTGTATCATAACTGTCATGTCCTCACAAATATATTTGTTTGTTGTGTGACAGTCCGTCATTTAGTTTTGTTTAATTTCAGTTTAAAAAGTTGAAACATACCAGGTGCATGATGGATATTAAAACTTGTATTTCTGGACTTGATATTAATTTTGAGACGATAAATGAAATTGCATGAGAAAAAAAATGATAGGCTTACATAACATCAAGCTTGTTTGATGCATTAACTGTCAACTTATTTAAATGGAAATGAATTCTGATAAAGAATTCTTTAAATACCCCAATTGCACTATTGCTCTAATTTCATGACTTATTATAACTAGCAAATATTTAGAGAAAAAATACACCAAATTTATTGCAGAACAAAGCCATTCACATGCCCAAACTTTAAAGAATGACCTGAAAACTAGTACATTCCCCATCTGAACCTGTACCACATTTCCAGTCTATTCTTGCCCAACAGACCGTTACACGGTTCCCCCCTCCACACTCTTCACTTCTCACTGTCTACTTTGTCACTTGTAAATTAATGGAAAGTGATTTGGACTAGAACATGAAAGTTTTCTCCGTGTGATATTTTTAAGTATGTTTTATTTTTCTGATTTCAGCTCAGCACCAGTGAAACATTTCACTCATGAATTATCAATTCGAGGTCGACTGAGACGACTGCTGATTAAAAACCCCACCACCAGTAAGTATAGCTATTTTAGCCATAGGGCGTAGTGGGTTCAAAACCTCTTAAAGACATGACCAATGTTGGTCTATTGATTCTATAACATATTAAGATTTCATCACCCAGGAATTTTCAAAAATATGCCCAATTTTGTGTTGTGCTAATTTTATGTAAAACATTCATAAAAATGAAATGAAAGTTTCCTTATGTTCAGATTTATGTAAAGATAGCAGATTTGTTTGATAAATTTTAAGCTGAGTTGTCAACATTGAAAAAGAATATTGTGGTTTACATAATTCCCAAGTGAAAATGACAGTTAAATTTGAAATAGACAGTTGTCATGAGAAAAAGCTATTAAATTACAATATTTTATTGTCTTTATTAACCTTTGTTTTACAAAGTGCAGGCATATTTGGTGCAGATTTTACAATGTAGACAAAATTTTATAACAAATTTAAAAATACTTTTGTGTCTGACTTTATGTAAATTTTGGGGCCATGAAAATAAAAAATGGCATGTAGTGTGTAATGAGAGAAATTTTCTTACAATTTCGTGTCTATTTTTGATTCTCATTTCTTAAAGGATTTTGTATATAGCTATCCTCAGGCAGACTGAGCCTCAGTGTTGTCCCGGCCAATCAAAATTTTATGTGATTACAGAGTGTCCTTGAAAGTCAAAGAGTCCTTGTATAGGGTTGGGTTTGGTTTACACCATATTATAAGTACCTGTTATATCATACCAATATACCAATGTACTACTTATTAGTACTTCATATCCAATAAACCAATTCTAGAACTTTCCGAAGAGTACCAAAAACCTTCTCAATCCAATTTTAATTGTACTTCTTGTGAAAATATCACACCTTTAGATTGGGTATTGTAAAATGTAACAACTCTCAAGTATTTTTGACCTTGAATTTGATTAAATTACTTGTTTTAATCTGAGTAAACAAACTTTTAAAGATCTGGGGCTAGTTTTACTTAATAATAAGGAGAAAAAAATCCAGATTTAACAGAATGCATATACAGTAATTCAATTGGTTACCAAAGCTAAATTTGAAATTAATTTGAGTGAGTGACCAACCAAATGAATGGAAGACTGTTCAGGAAACAAAATTTCCATATCACACACTGCATTTATAGACCTATTAGGTAGAGATGAGTAGGATGTAAAACTCCATTTCACTTTCTTTCTATTACAGGGTTATGTAGCACAGTATTTGATGTATGTGTTAAATGTTTGGTGTGTATTTTATATGTTACTAGAGTGTGTCTGGATGATCATAAACAATTTTCATGGTAAGTGTAGCCTTGTACATCCAGAACTGTCGGATTGCTTCAGTATTGTTTAGATCCAAATTCTTAAAGGGGCAGCCTTATTTTTTGAGTGGTTTGGAAAATATAAACCAACATTTTTAGAAATGTATCCCAAACTAATTTAAAAGTTTGCTTAATCCTAGATACTTTATTTTTTAGTTTATGTGCTTACACAATATCCTTCTTAGGATAAGATTTCACGTTTTCTTTTGATATCCATAGGGGCAATTCCGGGATGGTTAGATCCTTATCACATGTTATCTAATCTTTTTATATTCTTTGTGAATATTTTATTATGCATACAAGCAAGACATAATTAGTGTTATCTTTATCTTTCATTAAAGTTATCTTGACACACCTTTCAGGCAGTTCAAGGATAGTGAGGCCTTCCATCTTTAATCTCTTTCGTATTATCAATGCAAAATAGAATTATCAAATTTGTTTTCAATATTAGTCAGGGTATTTGTCATTAAATCATATTTGATTTCATAGAAGTAGGGCTGTGAATAAGTAAACTTGTGAGTGCAAATTGATGATATCAGTGTCCTTGATACACATAAAAAGTTTAGAAAACCTCTTTATAATCCCTTTAAATTTCAATGTCAAAAAGTTTGACAGGAAACAACATCCACATTTTACAAAGAAAAAAACTTAAAAAAAAAAAAAAAAAGGTTAGATTAGATAGAAAACCCAAGTCAAAACCTTCAAGGCTCTGGGTTATTTACAGTTGATCAAGATTGTTAATGGATGTCAGTTGTCAGTGATGGATGTTAACTTGTCAACAAAACTTTTGTCATTTCACCTTTTACATTGTCATTATTGTTTTACTAATTAATGGATTAAATTTAATACCCCCAGATTAGTTTACATTGTTGTAAGAAACAAACAATCATATTTTACAAGTATAACAACTTGGGATGACTCAGCTGGTTATGATACATGGAAAATAATACCTAAGGTTAGCAGCTGGTTCTTGGTAAACAGGATACTTACTTAGGTTACCAGCTGATCCTACCAGCTGCTTCTTGGTAAACAGGAAACTTACTTAGGTTAACAGCTGATCCTAGTTTAACTTCTTGGTAAACAGGATAATTACATGAGTTAGCAGCTGATCCTATCTACCAGCTTGTTCTTGGTAAACAGAATATTTACTTAGGTTAGCAGCTGATCCTATCTACCAACTGGTTCTTGGTAAACAGAATACTTACTTAAGTTAGCAGCTGATCCTATCTACCAGCTTGTCCTTGGTAAACAGAATACTTACTTAGGTTAGCAGCTGATCCTATCTACCAACTTGTTCTTGGTAAACAGAATACTTACTTAGGTTAGCAGCTGATCCTAACTACCAACTGCTTCTTGGTAAACAGAATACTTACTTAGGTTAGCAGCTGATCCTATCTACCAACTGGTTCTTGGTAAACAGAATAATTACTTAGGTTAACAGCTGATCCTATCTACCAACCCGTTCTTGGTAAACAGAATACTTACTTAGGTAAGCAGCTGATCCTATCTACCAACTGGTTCTTGGTAAACAGAATACTTACTTAGGTAAGCATCTGATCCTATCTACCAACTGGTTCTTGGTAAACATGATAATTACTTAGGTTAGCAGCTGATCCTATCTACCAACTGGTTCTTGGTAAAAAAAGATAATTAATTAGGTTAGCAACTGATCCTAACTACACACTGGATCTTGGTAAGCAGGACAATTGCTTAGATGGTCTTATCTACTTGCTTGTTCTTGGTAAAAAAGATATTTACCTAGGTTTGCCAGCTTAACCAAACCACTTGGTATTGGTATTACTAGAAATACAACTCTCTTGAGGATCCTTTCTATCAAACCTTTTCACATTGACTTTTCTTAAATTATCTGCTGATTTGTGTGGAAGAGTTAGGAAAGATCTATTCAATTTATTTTCTTTACTTCCAAAATTTACTAATAAATACCAAGCGGATGGGAAATTGGTCATATCTAGATGTAGTACACTATCTTTCATGACTTAATTTACAAATTGAATATTTCTTGATTAATCTTCACTGCTGTTTTATCTATTTTCACTCTTGATGTATTCATATCTATTACATGTATCTAAATCTATATGTATTTTAAAAAGGTGATAAAAAGTTGTTTATCTTTCAAACAATAAAGTAGCTCACCCAGATATATTTTTTCTCACATTTTTTTGGCTGAAGGTATACTTGTAGTAGAGGGCTAGTAATTAGGTTATATTTTCCAGTCATGTCTGTATAAAGCACTAATTGTTGGGTTGTGAATTGAGTCTATAAAACATTTATGATTTTTTTAACTTAAGAAAGACACATTTTAACTGTTCTAAAGGGCTGGTAACTGGGATATATTTACCAGTCATGTCTGAATAAAGCACCAAAATTATGAGTTGTGAATATAATCAAGATTTTATAGAAACTTAAGTGATTATTCATGCTAAAGGTGATCAGACGTGAGTATTTCAATATAAAAGGGGCCTGCTTGGTCATTAATTGATTTTAATATAAATTATAAAAACAAACCTAATGTAATGTTTATACAGATTAAAAAGTGACACGGATAGCATAGCTTAAACCTTTAACATCCCTTAAAGTTGAATAACCTAAGAAATAATATGCGTTCATTGGAAATTATAATTTGAAAATTTGGTATTTTGAATTTATTATCATACTAAATTATTGTTTGAAATTTGAAGCAATAGAAATTAGAATAACATATTTACTGATTTATATAATTTCTTAGTTAAATTACAGTATTAAATTCTAATCATTCATTTTAACAATAGCTCTGAGCTCTGAAATTTTGATAAATTATGTAAATATACTTGTATTAAATATCCTGTGTTTTTTGTTTTTAATTGACAAAAGAATAATGATAAATGAAAATTCCAAAATCAGTCACAACTTATTACAAACAATAAATTATGAATTTTGACTAAATAAAAACTGTATAAATATAAATTGTATACATAAATTGTATAATTTTGTATATAAGATTTTAAGTATGATTAACTAATGGTATTTTTCGTTTCTTTTCTCGGTGGAAAACTGAAATCAAGCCCTTGGTATTTGTTTTAACTTGTAAACATGTGTATTTTTGTGTTCATAATTTAATCATATTTTGTCTACTTAATAGTCATATCATAGATTGCTAAACCAAAATGACATCTGATTTCAATCTTAAAACTGGATTCAGACATGGAAGTTCACTCTGTTGCTTACTAGAGCAAATATTTAGCTTACTGTAATTTGTATAAAGCAGAAGCAAAATTTTTGTTTGTCAGCTTTGGAATTATTTTCTGATACGTACATTTGGAATATGTTGGGTCTGATAATAATTTCATAATTTTACTGCTGTAAAATATCTCCTTAAGTCTGAAAATCTGAAAAGGAATGGCTAATGCTGCATACTGAAAATATTTCCTCATTGTTCACTGCATGGTGTTGCCCTTCCTGATTTCAGACTTCCTTTCACTTTTTATTATTTTTAATTTGTAATAGTAAGTTATTGTGCAGAATATTAAATGATCTATATACATGACATGGGGCAATATACAGGTGACTTTATAACGACCTTGGGCAAATATTTTAATGTGAAATTTTACCCCAAAATATGAAATGAATATGGTGAAAAATACCTTGGTATTGTGAGCCTATTTGTACCTGAATAGTGTAGTTATTTTTGTACTGCAAACTTATTTTAGATCAACATCACAACAAGGGTATTCAATGTCTAGGGTAATTTCTAATTTAAAGGGACTGTCTATTTTATTTTGTAGGTTTTATTTGACTATTTTCTTAAAAAGCCATAACATATTATTTGTATTAATGTTGCATTCCAGCTCTATTGTTGGATAAAGTGGTATTTCTTTCTCCTACAAAATATGATAGTTTCCCTTTCATCATTTTCATTTCATCATTTTTATTTTTCACTTTTTAAAATAAATCCAATGTTTTCTGTCTGTTTCAGTTATGGAGAAATTTGTCCCAGCAACATCAACAAATCCACCCCTGTATCTGAAGGCTTTTCATCCACAAATATCCATTGGTAAGTCTAAAGGTTTTATCTGCAATACCTCTAAATCTTCATCTAGGATGATATCTGCTTTGGTGAAAAAATCCATATGACAGACGTTGAGTAGCTTATGAGGCAGATGTAAACCAGTGACATAATGTGTCATATCTTGTCAATGACTTAAACTTTTGCAGTTGGAGCTCCGGGTGTAAGACAATTAGTTGTGCTGATTTTAGACATACAACATAAGACGGTACCTTTTGCTTGCATCCCTTCCTAATGAGTTTGATTTCAGGAATTTTTTGGGTCCCATTTACATGCACTGCGGCAGTTTATTTCTCAGCCCCAGTAAAACATTTCTTATTATTATTCTATTGATATGTGTTGATAATTTCCCTGTCCACAAAAGCACAGACAGAGGAACTATTAATTAATGTATATTTCTTATTATATTATAGGCATGTATTATTATGGGTTCACAGACCCCTAGCATTATGGCTTGTACAAGTTATATTAGCTGTTATTACTCTTGTGAAGGCTTCTCTACAAGTCTACTGTCATACAAAGGTAATGTTGCTATGATTTTTTTAAATATAAATGATAGCAAAAAATTTTGGGTGATTTCAAGAAAGATGAGGTTATTTTTTGTAGACTTTTAAGACTAAAAATGGCTAAATATGCTTTTGGCTGAAAACATCCAGATATGTCAACATTCAAAAATGTTCATTGTTCATACACAAATTTAGTGGAAACTATTTCTCATCTTCATGTCTCTCTGCCCCAAGACTAAAATGGGGTTGATTTTTGCTTATTTTTCAGGGTACACGTCTAGAGAATTTGTTGTTTGATGGATTTTTAATGGAGGTAGCTTGTTCTTTTCCCGTTATTTTAACTGTAAGTTGTTCACTTTTCATTTTCAATAATAGACCAGTCATAGAATTATTTCACAGAAGATTGTGTCAGAATGAATAATGAAAAATACAAATAATCTGAAAATGTTTTGTTATATTGATTGAAAAAGGCTGACAACATATATAAAATGATTTCAGAATTGAATCTTTCGCTTATTATTATTATTATTTTAATGCTTACTAAAGGATACCTGATAACTATTAGTAAGTAACGATTTGCCTTTTCTGGAGTGATATTTGAAATTTTAACATTTTAACAAATTTAACATTAAGCAATGTTACGAAAGCACAGGCACAGGGTATTTGGGTTATCTGTGTTTGACAGAAAAATAGATCTGGTGCTGCAAAAAAATTTTTTGCTAATGATAAAATTTAGTCATGAAATATTTTAGAACCACTTGAACTAATGAAGATTTGTCTGAAATTGGCAAGGAGAGTTGAAAGCCAACACTCACCCTCGAAAACATCTGTGACATTAGAATTTTTCTTCTCTTGGGAATCAGTTCATGTCAGAATATATTATATTAGCTGTTATAAATATGGTTTAAATCTATGAATTTTAAGCTCTGGTATGAATAGTGAAGTTTTTGTGCAGTTTAAACTGATGTAAATTTGATTATATTTTCAGTGTTGTTATCCAGTTTTGTTACAGAATATGTATTTACCTGTTTTTATGAATTGCTGGTTGGGACGAGGTGCTCTAGCTAGATTATTTGTAAGTATGTCTGTTAAAATAATTATCAAAGTTCATTAACATAATCTGAAGGAAATTCAAATTTTTATAACAATTGTAACTTTTGAGATTATATACATGTATTATAATCAGTAGAAATGAGACTTTAAACTCGCAATTCTGTAATCCAGATCAAATTCAATAGGTATATTTTTTATAGTTTTGATTGTACATGAACCTGATATCTGATTTTCCTTCTGAAAAATATACATGTTTGAATCTGCTTGAATACATGGATGTAGTTTTTTCGTCTGTTTCTTCAGAATTTGATTTTAATTGATTTCTATTTTAAGAATGATCTACATCTACGCAAACAACGCTTTCAAACTATCTCTGTGACGTTATCACAGCAAATGATGTTACTAAATATAACTCTGTTATGTCTTGTTTTTACCACGTAAGTCTTTCTTTTGTTTTTAGATAATTGGTCAATTTTTATAGCTATCCTAATATCTTCTGAGGGAGCTGGTGTCTGCAATACCAAGCTACTCAAAAGGAATCAAACAAAATTTCAAAATTTCAAAGAGAGAGAAAGTACTGGACGTACAGTCTACTTCTTAAGATAAGAAAGATGTAACAACCTAGTCTGAAAACAGTCTAGTCCAGAAACAGCCTAGTCTTAAAATGACAGGTCCTATGAAGGTAGCAAAACTGAAGCAGTCTTAAGAGAGCTTTAACCCTGTCTTAAATATACTTAAAGGATATTTTATTTCAGAATTTGTGGTATACAACATATTCAGAGAGGCAGTGATGAGACATCGTTGACAATGTTTGAATCGTTGTATTTTGTGATAGTTACATTCAGTACAGTGGGATATGGAGATATATCTCCAGATATCTGGCTAGGACAGTTGTTTATGTTTGTTATGATCATAGTAGCTTTTGCCTTTATTCCACGTCAGGTAGGCAAATGGTTTTATTTTTACCAGAATTATTGTTCTGATAAATCCATATCTAGAAATTTTAGATTGTTTATAGATTTATAATCCTTTCTAAAATGAACACTGACAGTCATGGAGCATAACCTCCAGAACCCTTCATAGCTTATTCTTCTAAACAGCCTTCTCTTAAAGCCTTCATTTGAAATTCCAATCACACGTGCTCTTAATATCTGTTAGTTTTGAAGATTATAAGATAATACCAAACTACAATTTATTACAGTTAGAAGAAATTGGGTCAACATGGATTCAGCAAAAAAAATCAGGAGGCGAGTATAAAAAGGGGGAATCTCCAAGACATAGACATGTTGTAGTTTGTATGAGATTTCCGAATACAGAAATGGTGATGAATTTTTTAAATGAATTCTACGCACATCCTAAACTAGAGGTAAGTAAATGCTACTTTGTTTAGTTTTTTTCAATGTAGCCAATGAGCTCAGTAGCAAATATGATTAAAAGATGGAGGATAAATGCGAAAAGAAACCTTATGTTTGAATTTCAGATTGTTTTATTTTTTATATTTTTTCCAGCAACACACAGTTGTCCTTATCTCACCTAACGAACTAGAAAATGATATGCAAATGATTTTGAAAGATCCGAAATGGGCCAATCGTGTTGTATATATTCGAGGTTCGGCACTTAAAGATGTTGATTTAAAAAGATGTCGTATCAACCAAGCGGACGCCTGTTTTTTCTTGGCACCAAAAAACACTGGGGACAGAAACAAAGCAGTAAGTAATGATAAAAACAGATAAGAGGAATCTTGAGGCTAGGATTTAAAAAATGTGGAGCCAGAAGTCAAGATAAAAAATGTGGAAAAGGAGGCTAAGATTTGAAATATCTTGTTGAATTGTAGGAATGAAGTCTTTTCAAGCTTAGTGTTATAAATAGTTTGTATAAGATTGTTAGCTGGGATAATTTGCTTGAAAAGAAATGCTGAGTTTAAGTCTGGAGACGTTTGAAAAGCTGTCTTTTCTTCAGTTATTGTTGCGATCTATTTTTCTATGACCTGTTTGAAGATATCTTTGTGAAAGATACTTTGTCTACAGTTGTCTCTGCAGCACAATTTGTTAACTTATAGATAGGGTCCAAGTTGAAATTCTTTGCAGGATTCATTAAACTATATTTCAGAAATATTTTCATCACAATAAGGTCAGGATGCATGATAAAGATATAAAGTATATTATTGACTGAATTTGATATATTATTTTACAGATGAAAGGGGGTGGGGCAGGCAAAAAGGGCGCTCACAATGTTCTGGGTTCAGAACGGGTTCAAGATTTGCAGAATATTTGTATAGAGGCCAGCCTAGATGTGGGCTTTAATTCCAATATCTGTGCGTTTACTTTGAACAAAGGAAAGTGTTAAAGAGAGCTCTTTGAACATGAAAAGATAGATGATGATTTTTAGTTTAGTAAAGATACTTTGTGCACATCAGGGGACAATTTTAAACAAACCACAACAATCAATATTATATTTGGGTGGAATGAATAGTACTTGAAACATAGTAAGACTTGACTTATGATTCCGAATTAAACTATCCCAAAACAGTGAACTGATCTTTGTTTATGTGTTGAATTGTCCCTGAATATGCATAAATATTTTTGCTCAACTATTCATTTGTAAAAATCCAGTCAATCTCTGTTTTTTAAATAGCTTTGTTCCCTATATTATGCATTATCTCCCTTTTTCCTATTTCTAAACCATTTGCTTTTATTCTTGTAGGATCAGCATACTATACTTCGATCCTGGGCCGTCAAAGATTTCGCTCCACAATGTCGCCAATATTTACAATTATTTAAAGCTGAAAACAAAATGCATGTTAAATTTGCAGAGCATGTCGTCTGCGAAGATGAATTTAAATATGCATTGTTAGCCAATAATTGTTTATATCCTGGATTATCTACCCTTGTAACGTTACTGCTGCATACATCCAGGGGCAGGTAACTATAGTTAGTCAATGATATTTATGCACATATCTCCACTGAAACAGGTTTCTTTTAACATCCATATTTTTAAGAAGGGCTCAGGTTGACCATGCTACTGACAGAATCTGAAAGCATCTGGATCAATTTGCTGGATTTAGGAAACTATCCAGTTGTCATCTGCTGCTTGAGATCTAGTAACAATTGAATCTTCTAATTGACATTAGCGGTCAGATTTATATTTACTTTGACATTCATAGTTGTGCATAAATGTTTTTGATTCTCTAATTTATACAAGCCAGTTATTGTTTTCTGAAATAAAATAAATAAATCAATTAGACATGATTTGTAATTCCAATTTGGAAATTGAACCTATATTTATAATTGCAGCATCTTCTTCAAATCTTACAAAAAAATAACTTATGTTAAATTTTTTATTAATGTGTCAAATATATACAAATACTTTCCATTTTTCAGAGAAGGAGAGGTAGCCAATGAACCATGGCAACAGATTTATGGTCGACATTCTGGAATGGAAGTTTATCATATACAACTTAATAAAAGTTCTTTCTTTAGAAAATTTGAAGGCAAGAAATTTACAGAGGCCTCTGTAGTTGCACATCAAAGGTAATAATGATGAACATTCATTGTCCTGTTTCAGTTGGTAAATTGGCTCCCTAATTGAAGGTCTAGGGTTTGAAGGTTAGAAGGGGCTGACATAGAAAAAATATCTGTTCATTCAAGGTGCTACAGGCTGTTCATTTTGAATGGCAGATGATATTGAAAAAGAGAAGGTTGTTGCTCTTACAAAGATACTTCTATTATTTCACACTCCTGTCTTTATTAGCTCATTCAGCAGTAGAAAAATAAATGGTCCTTATTATTGTCTATTGGTTTTATTTAGTCACTGATATACTAATACAGTTCAGTCATTCTGTTGACTCTGTTTTCTAGATATGGTGTATGCCTAGTAGCTGTACTAGATGTTAATCGCTCGGAACCAAGACTCCAACTCAATCCTGGTTCTGATCATATTCTGAAAGGTTCTGATTTTTGTTTTTATCTGGGAATGACACGAGAAGAATACTCCAAAATTAACGCTTGTGCTGAAACAGAAGCTGTGGATTCTGCTAGAACAAAAAATATTGGTAAGAGTTTTTCAAATTTACTTTTCTTTATTCTACTGGCAGTCATGGTGGCTCAGCATATCAGACACTTGTTCTCTAACTTTGGGGATTGGTGGATTATTTTAATACATTGTATAACTATCATGGCTAAATTTACCTTTTGTGCACTGCAGAGTCATTTACCTTTTATACAACTAAATGCATGTGAGCCATCTTGGAGGGTGTAACTGTCTTATTTATTTATAATGAATACAACTAATAGGCTAGTGTGCCATTGTAGAGGGAGTAAATGTATTATTATATATTTTAGAACTAATTGCTAGTGAGATACAGAAATGGCTACAGAGTGAAGAAGAAGGAGATGTTGATGATGATGAAAGTTTATTCAGTACTATTACCAGTCAACTTGGTAAAACTATAACACATCGTTTACAACATAATAATGATGGTACGTTACTCTAGTTGAACCAGACATGACTAGGAAAGGGCTCAACCACTTTTAAGACTACAACTGATAATCTTGATAATATATCCAAGGAATTAACATTTTTGTCTGAGAAAAAATATTTTCTTTCTCTATTTCTTGTTTGTGCTTTTTTTCATTGAAATTTCTGTCTTAAAATTTTATTTGAGTCCAGCAAACAGGTTTAAGATTTCAAATAAATATTTTGATTTTTTCAGTATCAACTCCCCTTCTATCATCTCCAGTTGAGAAAGACACCATCAAAAAACCTGTAAGTTCCTCAACAGCAGCAAAAGGTACTGAAACACTGGAAAGGTTCTCACAACAAGAATCTGGAAAAATTCTACAGTTTTACGATATGGGACAGGAAAGGTAAGAGGATAACATATAATGCATGGAATATTTCTCATTTTTTTGTCGAAATTTTGTTGTGAGCCAGCTGAAGCTTGCTGGGTAATTTAGGCTAGTTTTTAGGATCAGTAATACAATCCTCTTGTGGTTCTCATGTTCATTAACTCCATCAGGAGAAAAAAGTCTATGTCATTTCAATTTTTATTTCTTTGTTTGCAGTTTTATTACTGGGCCACCACCTAGTACTCTGTATGTAGGAACAAAACGTACATCATGTCACTTACACAGGGACAGACGGCCATCGTGTTGTACCAAGTGGGGAGAGGTCTGTTGTCCATTTTATTGATTTTGCTGAAAAGAAAGGAAAGAAATAGCCATGATGATCATGGATAACAATGTGGACTTGTTCAGTTTTTTCTGCAGCTCTTGTTTTTGTAACCACAAATGTGCACTATCTTATAAACTTTTAATGTTTTTATCTGTAAAAGATGACTTTCTGGCTAGTCCTGACACTAATTTCTAAAAATGCCTTTACATTAAAATTGATTTTGATAAATTGAATGTTGAATGATACAATTTTTTATAAGCTATTTCATTAATTCTTACCTGTATCCCTAGAAAATTTATAAAGATTTTTTATCTTCTAGGTTTGTGAACATTGTTCATTTAAAACAGCTAAAGATGAACGTTGGGATCAACAGTTGATTATTCTAGTGGCAGGATATGGTAGCACTGGAATTTATAATTTTATCGTACCCCTACGTTCTGATTATCTTAATGTCAACAATCTGAGTCCGATAATTTTACTTTTAGAACAGGAGTGAGTAACTCTTTGATACTTCTTATTTTTAGTCTTTATTGGAAAGAGGACTCAAAGCTGACCCCTTTTGACTTTTGAGTTATTTGGCAAAAAAAGGGTTCATGGTGAAAGCATAAAAATTACTGTGAATGGCATCAGAAATTTTGCCTTGGGGGGTGGGGGGGGGGGGGAGATTCAAACCCTTAACATAACCTGTCTCATTTTATCTTAATATCAGTTTTGATATTTGACTGGCACCAAATCACCTTAGCATGATCATCCACATTGAAATGCAAAGTGCTATCTCAATATGGGAATTGATTTATGTATCAATTTTATTATCAAATCTTTCTTCAGGCCAGATAAGATGTTTATAGAAACTATTGCACATTTTCCACTGGTTTATTGGATGCAGGGAAAAATGACCAGGTATGTATGTCTGTATGATATTTAGTGATGTTTTTCTGTCAAAATAAGAACACATCAGACATGAACGATTATTTTAGCCAATCAAATGTTTGACTAAAACTTGAAAGTAGCTAGGCTACCTCATCATCATTCATTAGTCCAATCATTTTCCAATAAGTAGGACAGAAAACTATATATCACATCATTCAGATTAGAAATCACATTATATTGGTACCAACAAGCAACTATCATTGTTGTAGTGTATTCTTCCTTATTCTGAAATGTGAAACAAATAAATCTAGGAAACAATTCTTGATCATCTTAATGTCTCTATAGTTTTTTCTAATTCTCAAATTTTTCCCTTTCAGTATAGACGATTTATTAGTTGCTGGTATAAACAAGGCTACTCATCTAGTGGTAGCTAATAAAGAAAATGACTCTGATATCCAGGAGGATGTGTTATCAGACGCTGAAACAGTTGTGACAGTTCAAAAAATAACAAAGTTAGTATATATGATAAATTTGCTTTGGACTTTATGGCACAATGAGTTTGCCTCTCCTAGTAAGGTAGAAATGTGTAGGACTTGACATTTCATTTCCTCAAGATTTCAATGATACGAAGATAACTAATTTTTTTGTTTACCAGCTGACTACTCTAACAACAGTTTGGCCAACTCTAATATGTCATCAGGGGGCTTGGAGAAAACGTGTCATAAGAAATAAAACCCTTCATTCAATTTACATTTCTTTACATACAGTTTATTCCCAGCAACAAATGTGATAACAGAATTAAACGATGCTTCCAACATGAGATTTATGCAGTTTCAAGCACATGATGCTTATTCTCAATCCATCTCCAAGCTAGAAAAGGTGATTTTTTATTTTCTAAGAAAGTCTATCGGAGAAATCAACTAGTATTTTGGTCTAGATTATAATGTTTCATCAATCAAGCTGGGGTTGTCAGCGATGACAACTCAGGTTTGAGTGCAACAAGTTCAGAAGCACATTGAAAATAAAGCATTTTTAGTCTAGGCTCCTTTGCCTACTAGTGCAAAAGAACATTCTCCCAAAGGACAATAACTATTTCTATGGGCAAGAATATGGTCTGATATCTTGTAAATGTTTATTAATTTTTTTAGAGATTAAAAGAAGAAACCAACTCTAACTTGCCCCACCTATTCCGTCTTCCATTCACGTCTGGACAAGTTTTCTCAGCTGGAATGTTGGATAGACTTCTTTATCAGGTCTGTTTTTTTTTAGGACTGGGTTACCCCATCTAAATAAACATTTATGTTTCCTCGTACCCAACCATATTAACAGCAAGAGCTTGGCAAATTTTAGGTCCATTTAAATATCGTTTACAATGAAACATTTTAGAATAAGTCAATGACGATGAAACATTTTAGGCAATGAGAAATAATTTGTATATTTTTTGCAGACGTTTGTGAAAGGTTATCTAATCAGTTTTGTCAGGTTATTACTGGGTATTGATGCTGAACCTAACTCAGGACATTTATCTAGTGTAAGTTTATCTCTGACTATTCATGTTTATTAGATCTAAATATAACATATGTTATTTAAGCATTAATGTTCATTGGTCACAAATTGATTTGAGATATAATGTTTGACTTTTTCCTTTTTTTAAACTGTTTGAAATACAGCAAAAAGAAATATGGTATTTTTTCTCTAAATATTACAGGTAAGAGTTAGAAGAGCCACCCTTGCCCAATTCCCAACATACAACGATCTATATCAGGGTTTATGTTCTACCACAGGGGAAATCCCAATAGCTATTTATAGAACAGAGAAACGCCCTGCTCTTTCTGTTGCTGCTCTTGAGAAAATGGATAATGAGGAGGTGGTAAGTACTCCTAAAATATTTTGAGGTGTCTTCTTTTAGTTTTTGACATGCTTGTAATATGTCTTCTTTTGAGAGATTTCCTTCACAGTCAGTTTCTTGAAATCTAAACACTCTTGCGGCCAGTGACATAAATGCAACAAAGCGAATACCCGAACAGCAGTAAAGCGGAAGAGACATCACATAAGGTTAACATCATACTTGGAGACAGGGTATATGACGTTTTATTTCATTTACACTCAGTGTTCAAGAGGTTAAAGATATCTGTCAATGAGCTTTTTTTCATACCTTTTAACTCTCATTTCACACAGGAAAAAAATCCTTTCATTTCAGTTAGTGAATAACAATTCCAAACATTTTGGTCTTCCATCTCGGCCTTCTATACCTGCAAAATTATTTGCCCAGAGTGACACAGATTTTAACAGGCCCAGTGAACTTGTTTATAGTAGAATGAAGAGTCTTGATCTAAGTGATGATATACATTGTAAGTATTTATCTTATTGTGGTCTGTAGGCTTAAAGGATGATAAAAGTTATCTCCCATATCATAGGTTGGCTAGGCCTAGAACAATTATATAGTTTGTGATCTAAGACAAGAACGTTAACATCAACTGTTATTTACCTACATAGACTAAGGGATACCAAATTGATAAATGAAATATGCAAAGTTCTAGACTTCATGTTCAGTTATAATTCCTTATCTCTTAAACATTGCCAGTTGAATTGATTATTTTGATTTCTAGGTGATACTCCATTAGATAGTAATATATTATCTTATGTTATTGTTAATCCTTCTCCAAAACGTAAACTCAAATCAGGAGATATGATGTAAGTTTACTTCTATTGTTATTATACCTTCCTAAACCTGTCATTGATGTTGGTAGAGGATTGGGCAGCAGACATTAATAAAGGCATAGAACTGAAGCCCTGAGGTCTACAAGATGATCACATTAAATTTAAATGTCCCTATTGGAAATCGATAAAAAGCATGCCACAGTCTTGACAAAATTTTCTTCATTGCACACTTCATGCCTGTCATCTATTGCTTTTGCAGGGGCAGAACAATTTTAAGTAAAGCTTTCATTTCATTTTCTATCTCTTTGAAGCATAGGAGTTTGTTAGATTTGGATTTGTCTGTGTTGATTAAAATAAAATAATTCTCCGAATGTTCACATATCAGAATAAAAGTCACTTTGTAATTTAATGGATTATGTATTTATATCTTTTGATATGTTCTTGACATATTTTCTCTTTATGTTTTCAGTTATGTGATCCAACCAAGTAGTATGTTTGCTGTTCCAAATAAACTGAAATGGAGATCACCAAAAATGCACCGGAAAAATTTTGTTGTAAGTCCAGCCTCGACTCCTGTACTGGCAAGAACCACAAGGATATCTTGGAACCTTAGTCCAGATCAGAGAAAAAATTCTGCGAATTCCAGCAGCACATCAGCTGTCAAAGGTGAAGGTGAAGGACGCTCTCGATCCAAATCTGAATCTCAAGTTAACCAATCAAAATAGTTCATATTAACGTCAATTAAACTCATCTGTGAGTTAAATCTCAATTTCATTCTTGTTTATGACTTATATCACAAAAAAGAAATCAGAACCTTTTCCATTAACTCAAATTGACCAATGAGATTGTGAACTTTTAGATTTGTTAATGTGATTGGATAAAATGTTAACCATTAACATTTCACAATATTCATTCAAAGATTACAGATACTAAGTCTTGATTGGATAAATCAAAGAAACAAATAAATATATCTGTTTGTGATTGGTTGATGTAATCTCTGTTTTCTGGACAGCCATAGATACAACAACAACACCTTGGTTGAAGATGACTGGTGATAACTAAAGTAGACATAGCTGAGATTTTCATTTAGCAATCACAATGTTAAAACTTTGTTTTTTATCAGAATATGTTTCTATCCAAATCTCAAATCTTCTAAGACATCTTATTTTTCAGTGTATAATATTTTCTCTGTGCTATTTTATTGTTTAATAATCCATTCCAATAATTCCTGTACATATCATTCATTAATGTCATTCCAATTTTTATGAGCCTAAAGATGGCGACACTATCCTATGCACTGTATTATGTTGATTGTGTTCAGAAATGAAAAGTATGATGTAAAACTTATTATGTTGACCTAGAAAGGTGTAGAAAGTATGAAACTTCATTAGTTACAAATGGGAAAGAATTGTAGGATGTGAAACTCCAACTGATATTTCATTTTTTTAAATGGTAAAATTAATGATTTTGATGATCGCTTAATAATTTCTGGAATTCTGATTGGTTGAAATCCCTTAAATCAGCTAACCAATCAGAGTTCTTGGTGTATATTTTTACACTAAAATTTGTGATGTTTTTAAGCTTTATGATGAAAGTGCCTTGATTTTTAATAAATATTGATTATTATCATATATACATATATCTAGTCTGTTACAGACTTGTCAACTCTCCAGGCTACTATGTCCTGCAAGTCCCACGTGAAACCAGTTCCATGCATCTTGAAGATTTTGTTTTTGAAAAAACTAGTTCTAAAGCTTGTGTACATTCAGTAATCCTCAGCAGTTTCTATAAAACTGAACCTGTTGCAGAGCGTTTGCAGAAATTTCACAGTAGACCATTGGAAAAGAGTATTGACATATCTGTTCTGTTGTGTTCAACATGGTCAGGTTTTAATATTTTTGTTTCAGGTTGAAATTTTCAACAAATTTTATCTGTAGTATTTTTTTTGGTAGTATTTTTAGTTTAATTGTTTTCATATTTTTTCAAAGTGTAATATTTTAAAATGGTGCCTTATTTTTTTAATCCAGGAAATATCCATTGCAACCTTAAGGAAAATTTCTATGATGAAAAAAAGTTTCTGTCTTGATCTAAATGGTCTAAACCTTCCTCTTTTCACCTAACTATTCCAAAAACAAAAAGACCATTCAACTTGAATTCATTCCTTTCCCTGTAAATATTAAAATAAAATTATAAAATTTGAGAAATTTAGAAATAAAAAAAATTACAAATTCTATGAGTTAAGTTTAAGGGGGCTCATTTCCAGACTCCAAATTTAGATTCATATAGAATATTTTCTAATTGTGTTCATGATAAATTGTTAAAATGATTTTGTATTCCAATATTTTTATATTTTTATTATTTTTGTTTATAATTGTACATTGTTAATGATAATTGCATCTAGAATAGAAATTTTAATAAAATTATAGAGATCTTTTATTTTGGAGGACTAAGGATTTTAATCCATTACATCCTGCCTTCCCACTTTAAATGTTTTGTCAGGTACATTGTAACGAAAGTGTGTCTTCTAAATGTTAAATTTTACTGTGATCTGCAGTGTAGAAACTATCTTAACCGTCTTCATAAACATCATTACAGGCTTTGGGATTTTATAACTCATGAAATCCCTTTTATATGAAACCCTAGGTATAATGGAATTAATTCGCCGGGGATTTAGTACATAAGAGATAAACACATTTAATTATACATGTATATCAAAAAGGCCTGTTCCAATAGAAAGTCTAGATCACTGGTCGATGGCTGAATTAAGCAAGTTTGTAGATAAGAGTTTCACCCCTTTGCTGGAAAACACATCTTCTATAGAATGTTTTAGTCTTGAATACACTTTGGAGAGAATATTGGTTCACTTTAGAGGACTCGACCATGTGTAAATTTGTGTTCTGTAGGTGTGTTTTGTATTGGCTTCTGTTCTGAGCTGTCCCACACGTCGACTCTCAGAACCTCTTAAATGCGAAAGATATACCCGACATGTAGATCTTTAAATGCCAAAGTTTCAACATTTTAACAAATATTAACTTTAGCTCAATGGTCGCCGCTTGAACCCTTTTATATGTCAAACGCTTTCCCTTAGAGAATCTCTCGGAATGCTGGTTTCTATCCTAAAACCTTCAGTATTATTTTATCCTATATACGCGTCGACTCCAAAAGCTTGAAGAGCAAGCGTCTTAATCATCACAATTCCACGAACCTTGGATCATAAAAAATACAGCCCCTTAAAGAACACCAAGATATAAGGAAAGTAGCCCCATATCATTGATGTCTACGCATCTAAATACAACCACCGATCTATAAATAATAATAGTAATTGAACGGGGCTATTAAAGTTCACGAAAGAAACTTAACCAAACTGAAGATGTAACCTGAATTACTCTTGCCTCGAGAAATACAATAAATTGATAATATTTTAACCGATTTATTACGAAAGATAACATATAAAAATATAAAACATTTACACCTCAAAATTAATCAGATATCGATGATTAGACATAAACAAAATTATAAATTAGGCTAAGGCGTTTAAAATCATTATAAATAATATTGAGTCATTACATAACGTATTTATAATATGACATTACGACAGTCCGATAATAACGACTGGTTTAACAACACCAGATTCTGGGACTGTTATGGGAATAATAAGCAAAACGATGATCCATAAAAGATCGTTATTATGCTCTTAGGGCTCAAGTTTACAATATCACAGAATTATTCGCTATCAGCTCTCCACACAAACAACTCACTGGATGCTAGGACATAAAATCCATTCAAACAGTTCACGGTGTACATCTTCAGTGTATTCTCCATGAAAAGTTTCTACACGCGCTGAGTTACCAAGCTTTCGGAATCCAATACATGGGATGTCCATGGATTCTTCAGAACTTACGATCTTTACCTTAGAAAAGGATTGGTACCAGTATACTGCTTTCCAGATGGCCGGTTGGCGAATCCTTGTGCACCAACATTTTCTCTTGCAGCTGCATTACTATTTAAAGTGTTCCGGGTCATCTGATCGTTTGGACCCATGTTGTCATTGACAGTATTCATCATTGCAAAAGGATTGCCGTTGCTGTATAAAGAGTCAATGAATTCTCTCACTTCAGGACTTGGTGTAGATGTAGTAGGTTTCGAATCTTGTTGCAAATTGTTAAGCAAGGATCCAAAGACATCTGCCAGGATCTGCTGATCTAATTCAGGATCTTGTCCAAGTACTGGGGGAGTATCGGGATTGTTTGATGCGATTTCATTGGTTGTTCCTGTTGATGGGTTAGGGCTTGATCCAACCAAGGACTGTGGTTCATTTACTATGAATCCGGTTTCAAGGTCGTCCAAACTTGTACCGAGGCCGTCGTCGGTACCACCGTTTCCGCCCCTGTTACGAGAGTATGGAGAATCACCACGGTTTGGTATATCATTTATATCAATGGTGGTGGTAGGCTCTGGCGTGGTTGTGGGATAGTACCCATTGTCAATCAATATTGGGTTTACTTCTGTTTCTGGAATAGGTGGGTCGGTAACGATTGGAATAGGGTTCGGAGCTGGATCTGGTTTGCTTTCAGGGTAGCTGTCGATGATATTAATCGGTCGAAAAGTTTCTGGAATAATCGGACTTGGACTCTCAATTATGTCCGGTGTACCAAGAGTTGGAGGGTTCACGATGACTACTGGTGGATCCTCTTCCTTGGGCTTGATAATTTCAATAACTGGATCCGGTTCAACACCATAGTCGGGAATGGGGACGTATGGATTCTGAATCGGTGGTGGTTGAAACGGTACAACAGGAACCGGTGGTGGTTGAACTACAGTTGGTAATGGTTGTGGTGGTCGAACATAGACTGTGGGTGGTTGATTTTGGTTGTAAAATGCATCAGGGTCGGGTTGGACGTACGTTGGTGGCTGTGGTTGGGGAATTTGATAGAATGGGTTTGGCTGCGGCTTCGGTTGCGGTAGTGGTTGTGGTAACTGTTGATAAAACGGATTGGGTTGTGGTCGTCTGAAGACGTAACCCCCTGAATTTGAATTTGAGTTCGAGTTTGAGTTATCATTATTCCAGCGTGTTTGTTGCTGTGGGTATGGGGCGTTCCTCCACTGCGATGGTTGTTGGTAATGTTGTCTTTGTCGTTGCCAGGGTTGAAATGATTGACGTATCTGTTGATTCTGATTCCATCCTCCACGAACCAACATTCCACCTGAACCACTGAATGATGCCTGTGTCTGAATTATGATTGTTACTATTGTTATAGCTGCTAGTGTTATTTTGTTGAGTAGAAGCATTTTCTTATCTGAAAAAAAAAAAATACAAAATGTAAATTCCTCACAAATGCAAATTCATCTACTTCAGAGTAGCCTCTTATCTAACTTCAGTAGGTTAAGCTCTGTATGAAGGGGAAACTGAGCTTCTCGACGATCTTAACCTACTTGTTCCTCTTGGCATTTAGGCCGGAGCTACCCATAAGCTACCTATGGTAAGGTATGGCTGCCCATTTTTATATATAGGCATAGGTCTTATTATAGTTCCTATCAAATACTATTAAAAGAATCTTCTTACCTTTAATCGAGAATATGTAGTCCAAAAATATTAAGTTGAGTTCTGCGAGAAGTTTCTATGATGATAAATCTATGTCTGATTGAAGACATTCACGAGATTCCCGCCTTTTATATTCGTCTGCTGATAGAATGATTACGCCTGTAACGTCATCCATCACGTTCTGTTCGCATTTTTTACTGATTAATGATCGTGATTGAATATGTATTTTTCTGACCTAAAATGAAAGTGATTTTATCGGAATGCTCTGGGCTATTGTCGTCAGTTAATGTATGTCTATGATGAAAACAACACGTCGACCTTTCTAGATTTCGACCCAGATATGATTTGATATCTCTCTATAGTTCCTTTGGTCATTGCAAGTTCATCTTTGCCACTGTTGCAGCCATTATAAAGTCTAAAATATCCAGACCTTTGTCGTCAGGTGTCAACCAAATGGGCCAAAATCGATCCAGATGTGACCTTGTTAATCATGGCTATGGAGCTTTTTAGTTTTCACAGGAGTGCTTTTCTAAGGGCTATTTCACAGTAATGCCATTGCAAATGATGAAAGAATTTCGAATAACTGAATCATTTCATGACAAAAACACCACACCATCCTGTTTCTTTAACTTCGTAATTTAAAAAAAAATGATATTCGCTGCTTAAGGCAGCAAACACTCATTTTCGATGAAATAAGTAACGTCACGGTATAGAACGCTAACGTCATTACTGGTCAATTTGGGAATGTCGCTCAAATAATATATTGCTCGTGGTGGTCAGAACCATTGGACGGTATCAATACCTGCGGTTATCAGATATTCAATCAACGTACTGACCAGTGGCCTGCTGACCGAATGTCCAACAACTCCTGGGAAAATAAAATGTTAATAACATCCTTATGACTGAATTGATTAACCAATTTACAAATGTCATTGACGACCTTGTCCTGGATAATTGTGTCAGTAGAGCGTCAAACTCTAACCTTGTCATTTCACCAGTTTACAGTAACATTTCTGAAACTGGACAACTCCAATATATTTGAGGATGATGATGTTCCGGTATTGAAGGAAGGGTCGTTGCTGTCTTAACAAGGTGATCCACAGTTACTTTTCTATGCTACTGTTATCTTATAAAACCACCAAACGTTATCTCCGAACACTGGGTTTTATTCTAGAAGGTGATCTAATGTTTAGACTCAGAAAAGCTTACCCAGCAACTTTCATACGCTATTGACCCCAACCTTGATATATTATTTTCTGATACCCTCTTACCTTTATACAATATCTCAAGCAACCCCCTTAACCTCAAGAAATGGTCGATGAGATCAACGAATCCTTTGAATAAATAGGTTACAGTGACTCGTCCAGAAACTGTTATTTCAGTATATGCGACAGAGAGATTTCAATTAACAACTGCTTATCAAACAATAATGAAATTTCCAAATTGTCCAATTGTCCAAGTTTCTCAGATTGGCCCCGGGTTCCTTTGCTTTAATCCTCTGGGGCATTAGGATGGGAACCAAAGATCAAGAAGGCGCTTAACTCTGGGTTTCAATATTGTCGCTTTGTATAGCAACATCAGATATCACCTACCTGTTGATTATATAATCCATAGGGTGGGTGGTCCACTGATGTGCTATTAGTAGGCTAGCTAATAGAATGATGAGACACTCTTTACTTCTTGATCATATTCCGGAGGTTTATCGATTGTGGTAGGCCTTCCAATTCAAACACACAGAATGATCTCGCTGGCACTATTAAAGTTACTTGTAGTAACTAGCCTATACATCAATATAAATTAAATAACAGATTGCGAGTTTAGTAGAAAAAAGCCATTCGGTGTTAGAAACTAGGACAAGGATACAACAGAGTGGCTTGTGAGGAATATTGCAATAGTAGGTCAATAGTAAGTTATTTACTCTGTGTTTTTTTTTATTGGATTTTATATTTTAGTTTGCACTTGGTCTGATTACAAAACCAAGTTCTATAAATAGCTCTCTCATGTTTTCTAGACTTGGTTGAATGAACATAAGTGCTATGGTATTTATGCTTTTATAGCCATATACATACAGTACATACGTACATATAGTAGGCCAGGTTAAAACAGGTTTATCTAAACGAACCGCCGATTGAACCGGTCTTATACCGTCGAGGTACTCGTTGTATTTTATAGTAAACGGTCAATCAATGTACATACAGGTAACAGCATTGCACACAAGTGTTTCATGAATATACAAGTATATTGGATCAAGGTAGGGGCTATAGAAGTGTAATAATTGCATACTGGTAGCATAGGTATATAGGACATTTTTCCAGTTAATTCGTTATTCAAAATATTAACGTGTGACGGAGACCTTATACTCAAATCTCAAATAACTAAGTCGGCGTACAGGCCATATTCCCACCAATACAGGCATACCGAACGTTTATTTCTTATGTAAATAAATAGAAAGGAATCGACTGGATATACTTGGTAGAGTATTCTGCTATTTCACATTCTTGGCAGACTTCCTTCCTAAGCCATTGGAAAGAATTGTTGAGTCATTATTTCTATGACGTATTTTTGGTCCATATAACTAATGTCAAATCATTGACTAAATAAGAAGGACGCCCAAACAGTAAACAGAATGACCAGAATATTGGAAATCTGATCTGAATGACACAGCGAATTGAAGCGAAGACTATATAAACGTTGGACTGATTGTGCTCAGACTTAGTTCTTGAAAGTTCCGTATATAGACTATAGATCTATTCATTTAGGCTTTTCTTGTTGGCTCTGTAAACTGTAAGTTGGTTTAAATTTGTATTGTAAATTTTAAAAGAAGATCTAGCCTATAGTTATTTTTACTCTCTATGAACACCTGATGCCACTCTTTACACATAGGTCTACCTTTCATCTGTGCCTACTATGATATCTTTAGAGAGTAGTCTCTACTCTGGGATATATTAGTTGTGCTCTGATCTGGCACTTGATATCAAGTGATCTTCCTTACAGATTAATAAAATTGTTTCTGTTCTCCGTTGGCGTTAGTTGATCGATTAATAATGGCAGCAAATAAATTAAAAGTGGTATTATTCCTGGGATCTGTTCGAGAAGGTAGACTCGGATTACGAGTAGCAAATTTCATGAAGAAGAAATTAGAAGAAACAAACCATAATGTTACATTATTTGGTAAGTCCGTTCCGTGTCTCCCCTCACTGGATAACTCGACGCAAAATAAAGTCCAACAATCCGAAGGAAGGGTGTGAAACATCTTGTCACAAACGGCCAATTGTAGGCTATGAATGAATTGGATTTTCATTAATTCCCCCCTGTATATCGCCGCTTTTGGTCACAAACATGGAGACATCACATTTCATTGATTCTGATCTCATAAAACTGCCAAGCACAAGCTACATAGCCTACTTTTCAGACAAAACCCTATTATAATTACATTTCATTTAAATGTTCGTTTCAAAAGAGTAACATTTTGGCAAAATTACATTTCAGATCCGAAAGAAATGAAGTTTCCGCTTTTGGAGAAGCCGGTATTTTTCTACCAGGACAAGTCTCAGCTTCCTGAATGGATGAAAATAGCAGAACAACAGGTGAAAGACGCAGATGCTTTTGTCGTGGTTTCCGGTATGTTCATTTGGGCTACTTCTAGCACATAAAATGGAAGTTGCTGTGACTTTAAAATCTGGCTGGCTGGTGTTATACCGGTATAAACAGGATCTTTACGTGTAGTTGTGCGTAGGCATAGGCGGCAATTTTAACTACTCAACAAATAAACATTGTTAATGTTGATTCCTCTTTATTTCAGCTGAATATAACCACAGTATTCCACCTGCTCTATCGAATATGATGGATTATTTTGGCGCGAGTTGCTATGGTTACAAACCCAGCGGTATCGTCTGCTATTCAGCAGGTAAGTTCTGGTTTTCAGAATATTTAGAAATGATATTCCGGTTCCAACTTCTGACTTATAAAATTTTCAAGGGACGTAATTTCAAAAACTAAGGGAGATAACTGGTCTCTTAGTCAGAAGGATTTGTTTTCCAGTTTTATATTGAATTGAATTATGTAAAGGTGTGTCAAGCAATGTAGATAGAGAACTGACTGACTGTATTGGTATTTTAGGTATATTTGGTGGAATGAGAGCTGCCATGCATCTTCGATGTATGCTCGGAGAATTAGGATGTTTAAGTGTGTCTAATATTTTTGGAATTCCACAAGTTCAGAAAGCCTTAGATGAGGCTGGAAAACCTTTAGACCCACATATGGACTCTGGTGCCTTGAAACTTATTACTCAGTTGGACTGGCATGCTCATGCTATGAGAAACCACAGGAACAGTGTAGGACTTCCAAAATAATTCTCCCAGTTTCATTTCATTACTGTCATTAGAACTAAATAGTTTTAACAACAGGACATAAAACTCAATTTCATTTTTTGAGCTCAAGTTTCTATTTTTGATATGACCAAGCTGGACATCGTGGCAACAAAGTAGAATCTCTTGTTGGAAGTTAAGAAAGGGACATCCTAACGCTAAGATCGTTTCGAGAATATGTGGCTAGAGGTGACAAAATATGTAGAAAAGTTGACCTTTGTAACTATTGTGGGAAGTTTGTTTGTGAAAACTTAGTGATATACAGTTTTAAGTTGAGAATAAATAAGAATTAATTATGAAATCTAAAGATTTTTTATTTAAAGGAGAAATTTGACTAGCACCAGTCTCTACACAAATAATAATAAATACCAAAAAATAAATAAAAACAAAAAATTATATATATTAATACAGAAACATGAAAATAAACAAAATTTAACAAAAATTTTGATATTAATTGTGACTATTATAATTTTGACACAAAGCTTTCTCTTGGTACAACTGTAAAACAATTTCTTAGAAAATACTTCTGGGGATATCAACTGCAGCAAGTGTTAGTGTTTTCAAACACAAATGAAGCACATGATGAGATGTGGTGTGGGGCATGCAGGAACTTGATTGCCTTTTCAACCACAGACAAAGGACAGTGAAATGGAAGGGAACTTTTAAACATATGAATTTTTTTTGTAGGTGAAATTACAACATTCTTTGATTCAATTGATCCAAATTGATTTTCAAATCATTCATTTTTTAAAGTTATCACCTTTGCAAGTTTTTTTTCCCTTTCAAACAACACAGCAGAGGAATTGTGGATACAAATGAGTGCTTGTAAATTAGATTCATGGGATTTACAACTTGCAATTACCCGTTAATATTGCATATATTTTGATTTAAATGAGAAAAATTAACAAAAAAAGCAAAAACTTTTTGCGGAGAATAGAATGGACCAAAAAATTTTATGGTTACAATTTACCACAAGCATTAATATTTATATAATAATGATTAGTCTTGTAATGAAGGATCATCCTTCTTCCAAAATATTCAAGTATTTTTTTAACTGTGGGAGAGCAAAGCTTCGAACAAATCACCCAAGGAATTGTCTGCAAGAAAGAGTAACTCTTATTTCAGTAAAAAGACTTGTCAATTACTGACTAAGCATGTTATTGCTTATCTTAACATAATATTAAGCTTCTAATTCTATAAAGGAAAATTTAAGATACACAAAAATATATATTCATAAAAATGAGAATGAATGAGCAAAAAAACCATACCAATTAAATTAAGAACATCTTGCATGTCATATTCATAACTAATTAAAATTAATTAATTAAACAAAAAATCTTAACCTTTCAATAACATAAACCTGTTATTAATTCATATAGGCAGTTTTGTCAATTAAACATGCTGCTCTGTTGTAAAGTTGCAATCTCAATTCTCGCATGTCGAGAGGTTTTATGAAAACTGTTCAGAAAAAGAAGACAACTGGACACTGTTTTTTTTAAACATTCTTACGACTAAACTTGCCTGTTAAATGAAGAAAAACATTATTTTTGACATTATATGAAAAAACAGGGTCCTGAACACTAGGCACAAGGGCCACTTGAAACATACAATTAAGCATTTATGAACGAGAATGTAAGAAACTTTGAACATCAACTTTTAATATCTAATCTTCATATACAACAACTAAAGGCATTTATTAGCTTAACTTTTAACTAAATATCTTTTCAAAAATTCTAAATGTACAATGTTTTGAAAATTGACTACCTCAAAAGAAATTCACCAAAGCAACGCCAGAAAAATTCACAGGAAGCACAAAAAAGCAAGAAAAATGGCTGAAAGGGACAAACACATGATTAGCAAATTTAACATATTCATTACTCACTGGTTTGTTAAAAAGTCAGAAAAATTTATTTTGACACAAAATGAAACTATGAATGAAAAACTTTAATATAACGTGTTGCCAATTTACGACTTGCAAAATAATGCTTATGATTTTATTTGGTTTGTTTTTGCACAAGTCACAATGTTTTAGATCATATGAACACAGTGGTTTTTTTTTTACTTGTGAGACACTGCACTCAATGCAATGAGTCTTCTATAATAACAAAAGGCTCAATAATATATAAAAAAAAAAGTTTTAAAGGGATTATAAAGGTTTTCCAAAATTTGTAGCATAAAATTGCACCATTCCCATTCGGACATCTGTGGTTCTTGTAATTCTACTAAAATTAAGTGTTTCATGACAACACTAGTTGTGAGGGGCTTTATGTGACAAGTTTTTATGGAATTACAGAAAATTGCATAAAAAATTTAGGAAACCTCTTTACAATTCCTTTAACATAAAATTTTGATCGAAGCAATATGATACAGCTCATTGAAAATATCTTAAAACCATGGTCAAATCATTGAGAAAACTCTTCTAACATAGCTACCAAATCAAAATGGCATGATTTGACATGGTTAAGGTTCAAGACTTTTCTAGAATTCAAAAAGGAAAAATCAAAAAAAGTTATAACAAATTATGCTTGATATCTTTTTCACTAACATTATAACTTCAATATACTTGAAGCTTGTCAAAATATTTCAAAAAACTTAACTTGTATACATACATGCAAAATTTCACAGCTTTGGACATGAGATCCTTTACATCAACAGGGAAATGTTTATAATAATTGGGTCCAGCCCTGTTTTATATCACCAATCTCCAAAAACAGGAGTCCATTTTGACAATAAACAACTTTAACGATCTTTATCCACCACTACAATAACTTTCAAAAACAAACACAATAGATAACAATAAACACAGTGTTTCTGTGGTAATACATTTCTCCAACATTTTCCTTTGAAATTTATTGTTTAAAAATGCTTTTTAACCATTATGCAAAAGCATCTTTGGTTGCATTTACATATGAAGAATACTAATATTCAGAGTTCAAATATAATTTCATTAACTGGTAAACTACCAAACTATATCACCCCCTTTTTTTTGTTCATGTGATGTTTGGTGCTTTAGAAAAAATAAGGAGATTCTGTTTTGCATAGCACATGCCAAAAGAAGTTTTTAGTTTGCAGATATAAGTGATACCACAAAAGCCATAGTATTTTACAATTTAATCCACATTCCAACGCTCTTATTGCAGTATTACTCTCAAGCTTCCTTAGTCTGCAATTTCTTTCACTTCTTTTCTCTAAGCGCTCTTAACAATACACTCTTTGCCCTGCATTACTCAGAAAATAATAGGGCCAGAATCCTTAGTAGTCAATTTCATTCATTATCAAGTTTTCAATGGACCCCCTTTTCCAGTAATACTGGTACATTGAAGTCTTACATTCATGCATCTTATTCACAACCAACTTCAATAGCCATTTTTACCAACATCACACTAAAGCCTCAATAGTTTGGCTATCGTCAATCTCCATTTGAATAAATTCACGGTTTTCTTCAATGGAAGGCATGGGTGATCCCCCTTGAGCACCTTGGGCACGATTTTTTCTGAACGGACTAAGTCTGGGCGTAGCAGGAGAAGCAGACACAGAAGCTGATGATCCCGATGGAGTCAATATTACGTCAGCTGTCTTCCGATTTAACATCACAAAAACAAAGATGGCCAAAGCCACAAAGACGATGGACCCGATTATAGTTCCTATCACCATATCACTACGTAGGCCATGACCCTTATTATACATTTTCTTCTCATGTAACCATATACTAAGAGAAAAAATAATCAAATTTCAAAATAAAATTTTTATTATGTTTTTGCTCCAAATCAAGTGTAAGAATGCACCAAAACAATTCCATTTTCAAAAAGAGCTAAAAGCTATGGTTCCACCACAGAGCTTCCATATTTGGAATCTTACAGTTTCCACCCCCAAGTGAGTCAGTCTGCCACCTATTTGTACCTCCAGTTCCAGGAAGCTAGCACTGCCACTGGCTCAAGTTCCCAACCACTGAGATCTTATTTCTGGAGATTTCTTTAAAATTATTTAATTTTTACTGGCCTACCTGATTTCAGACCTGTTTGAAATACCATTAGCATAAAACGTGTTGTTTTTACCATTGACGACTACATGAACCCAGAATTGACCATTGAGTACCGTGAGCTCTAGTTGGTATTCCACATCTTCGCTACTGATATCTGAAATACAGATTTTATTTTTTAATGTGTTTTATATCAGATGATATAATTTTGTGTTACTATGGTAACAAAGACCAAAATTATTTGGAGAATTAGTTGAAAGAATATTTGCCTAATAAAACTTACGCTTTTATGTGTCCTGACAAAATACCAAAAAACCAAGATCCTGCCACTATTTCTTTATTTATATTCTGACTTTTGGATGCTCAGAATTCTGAATTATGCATACTTACTGTTATAAAGTGTTGGTGGTTTTAACCAAAAAGTAACAGTATTATTTTCTGGGTCAGCTGTAAAATTCTCGATTCTGTCACGCGAAACAGGAATTACTGAGATGACTTTACGAATGAATGCTGTCTCAAAATATGAGAGGAATGTCCGATCTATGAGCTGGGTTAAATTATCCTGGGAAAAAAATATCTTGATGGGTATTGCTTCAAAATCTGAAGAAAAAAAAGGAGTGCACAAAAATAAATTTCATCAAACAAGAGAACAAAACCAATACCTAAAACAACAATTCAATATAATCAATATATCAAATGAAACCATTAATCAGAACATGAAGTCACATAGATGTCACTAGAGCAGGGAATCATTTAAATTTGCCTGTGGTTTAATTGAGTCCACAAGTTCAACCAGTCAAAGATACTTATCCACATCAATGATCAATTCAAAATATTGGAATCATTGCTACATGATTTTACCCTGGCCCAATAGAAATGCAGGGTCTTCACAAGCATTACTTATGATTCCTGTAAAATATAGATATTTTTGCAAAATAATGATAAGTTGCAACAAAAGTTTTTAAAAATTTTAATATCTCCTACCTGGGTCTCTAATTCTGTAGGTTGTGGACTGAGTTAAAGCAGCTGTTGATGTTACTAGCTGTTCCTCAGAACATAAAATATCAGGATTGGAAGGACATTCCACAGATCCAGAAAACTTGGAGATCTTCAATAAAATTACAAGATTAATGAAAATTAAGGTTATCTTAATCCAAAGGAAGGATTAGATTTTCCCAAAATGAAATATTAAATAAACATAGACATTGTAACTCTACGTAAATGAATTGAGAAAGGACCAGTTTGTTGACTAGATCCAACAGTAACAAGACAAACTAAAGATCAGCTTGAAGACATAATCCTCTAGAACCTAAGCTGTTACCCTTGTGAAATCATTACCACAAAACATGGATGAGAATCCTTGTGAACCTAAGTCGTTACCCTTATGGTGAACCCAAGCAGTTATCTTTGTAAACCTAAGCAGTTATCTTTGTGAACTAAGCTGTTACCCTTATGAACCTAAGAAGTTGTCTTTGTGAACCTAAGATGTTACCCTTATGAACCTAAGATGTTACCATTGTGAAATATTGATGTCATGCATTTTCAGAAAAAATATCTCTATCAAGTTTTGTCTTACCTCTATACTAGCACCAGGAAAGCAGTCTATCCACTCTGAATGGTTTATTTTAATTTGAACATGACCAGGCTCCTGACAGCGATGTTCGTAACATCTTCCCATGGGCTCCAGGTCTGATGTGTTTAATGTCTATAGAAATAAAAATTGAAATTTCAGCTTAATTTATAGAATGTTTTCTGGAGATAAAAATATGAATTTGTGCAGCTCAATATAACATATTTCGAAAAGAAATCGTAAGCTGCAGAAAATCAGATAGCTGAAGCAATTGGTTTAAAATCAAAATAGACTTATTTTCGTTGTGGTCTAACACCTAAGAAAAATTGAAAATATGAAACAGTAGAAATTTACCCTTGGATAAAGGCTAGATGTAAAACAACGACTGGTTTCAGAAAACGTTTCACCATAAACATTAGAATATCTGACTCCATATGGTTTGATACATTGGTCCTTAAATATATAATAGAGATGCACATCAAGACAAAACATAACGTGCTTTATCTGTACAAACACTTCTATCTCTCGACCAGTTAGATTATAGAAACCACACATTGCAGAAAAATTCAAAAACAAACAGACATTTGGAATACTTTTGAATACAATAAACAGCTTTCTAGTTAACCAAATAAACAATGAAGTAGATGGCATCAAAAGATTTAAATAATCTTTAATGCCAGAAATATAGCCCTGCTTCCTAAAGGATTCAGCTCACTTCAATGGCTAGCTTCCGTTTAGAGTGGTAGATAAATGCTTGAAAGCATCTGTTTTATAAAATCAGAATAAATATTACCTGTGCAGTTGTTGGAGTGAATTTTTTACATGGTTTTATATTTGAATCTGTTTTACATACACCTTTATCTTTTCCTAAATAATGACAGCCTCGCCCTCTGAAAAATAATAGAAGTTCCAGCTAATTTCATTCAGTCAAAAATCTCCATTATGTAGAATATTCTCTTTGGTGACTTTTTGCCCCTGTTCAGTGACAAATAAAGTAAGTTGCAAATCATGATTGCTTGTTTCCCAATGAGTGAGATTTTTGTATTTTCAGAAAACAGGTCAAATGTCTCTCCCAAAATAACTCCATCTTGTAAAAAAAACAGAGTATAGCCTAAAAAATTCCTATTGATGCCCTGAAATCCTATGCATTTTCTAAAAAACTTAGAGCAGAGTATTAATTTGTAAAGTTACTCACTTTCCATAACAGAAATAAGGAGTCTGAATATCACAGTATTGTTTTAACCCAAACTTACAACCACCATCTATGAAATACAAATATAATGAAATAAATAGGAATGACCATCATGACTATATTATTGTCAATATAAGAAAGATGCCCTAAGCTTGAATATGTTGCTAAGCTGGTAATAATATAAGAATCATTTGATAAGGTATGGTAAATAACTGGTGGTTGTGGTCAGCTATTGAAAGTCTTGTTCTTCACCGGTTGACCCAACAGTATATGAATAGAGATAATCTGAAGAAAGATCAATGCCAAGAGGTTTGGTTAGGATCAGTTGGTAGACAGGATCATTGTGACCCTATGTTCCTACCCTTGCAAAAATATTTGAGTGAAATACCTTTTCCCCAGTAATATCTGTCTGCTTGACTGTAATCTACCTTGTACCAGCCTGAATCTTCAAACACTGCCAGGGTGATAGGGTCTAGAACAGTTAACCCAGGCTGGAACAAAAATAACTGACTTCCATTAGATACCCAGAATAAATCCACAAGAACATTTTGATTTCTGCTTCTCTGAATGTTGGTAAATTGACATAATTTGTTGGATTTAACCTCAATGTACAAGCCAGTTCCAAATATGACAACATCCTAACACCATTGATTGGTTCATATTGTTGCAGATATCATCACAAAAATCCAAAATTCCATACACTATTATTTGCTGTATGCATTTTCTCTTTTCCCACTGTAAATATTTATCAATTTAAATAAAAACAATGACTTACCATGGTGTTGTCTGATGTCATTAATGATCCTTGCATCATGGCTGAATCCCAGTGGGATGTAACAACATCATTCTGAAAATATATAAATATATTCAATAAATTATCTTCAAAAAAGAAAACCTAATGAAACAAAAGGACAGATTATTATATGAAGATAGCTTGATAGTAAAATTAAAAGAATAACAATCATTTTGTCAAAGAGTAATGTGTTAACTTAAGGATTGTATCTTCTTGTATCTGCAAAGTTTGGCTGACAAAACAAGCGACAAAAGGTGTTCACATTAGGTTCAAAGACCGAAAAAATTTCTTTAACTAGAGCTGATCTCTTGCTCTCAACACACATTTTTGACATACAATCCTTTGAAACTTTTTTAAGTAATAGGTGTTCATATTAGTATGGAGGAAGAGAAGAAGCAGGTCTGTTACCTACCTGTGTTACCAAGGGTCCACCAAAATCTAACTCTGTGTAACATGAGAAATGTTGTTGTGTTTTTTCTGTAACTTTTGGTGTAGCAAGACGCGTAATTCCATCTACTGTTTTGTAAACTGACTGGGATCTCACTGGACAATCCAGCCCATTAACTATAATACAAAGACAAATTTAAAGTAAGAATCCATCAACATTGACATAATCAACCCTAAGAATTGTTTTCTTTGTGCCACTCATGTATTATTGAAGCTCAAAAATGTGATTTTGATCATTTTTCATGGAAAGAAATCCATTTAGTTCATATTTACATTATCTAAATTCACACATGTCCACTGTTCAACTGAAAACTTTAAGTCAGTCATCCTAGAGGGTATAAGGGCTAAAAACAAATCAATGCTCTACATCAAAAGACATCAGCCATCCAAGAGGGTGTAAAGATTTAAAACAAATCGGTACCTTATATCAATAGACATCAGCCATCCAAAAGGGTGTAAAGATCTAAAACTAATCAATTCCCTATATCAATAGACATCAGCCATCCAAGAGGATATAAAGATTTAAAACAAATCGGTACCCTATATCAATAGACATCAGCCATCCAAGAGGATATAAAGAATTAAAACAAATTGGTACCCTATATCAATAGACATCAGCCATCCAAGAGGATATAAAGATTTAAAACAAATCGGTACCCTATATCAATAGACATCAGCCATCCAAGAGGATATAAAGATTTAAAACAAATCGGTACCCTATATCAATAGACATCAGCCATCCAAGAGGATATAAAGATTTGGAAACAAATCAATACCCTATATCAATAGACATCAGCCATCCAAGAAGATATAAAGATTTAAAACAAATCGGTACCCTATATCAATAGACATCAGCCATCCAAGAGGATATAAAGATTTAAAACAAATCGGTACCCTATATCAATAGACATCAGCCATCCAAGAAGATATAAAGATTTAAAACAAATCGGTACCCTATATCAATAGACATCAGCCATCCAAGAGGATATAAAGATTTGGAAACAAATCGATACTCTTTATCAATAGACATCAGCCATCCAAGAGGATATAAAGATTTGGAAACAAATCGATACTCTTTATCAATAGACATCAGCCATCCAAGAGGATATAAAGATTTGGAAACAAATCGATACTCTTTATCAATAGACATCAGCCATCCAAGAGGATATAAAGATTTGGAAACAAATCGATACTCTTTATCAATAGAAGTCAGTCATCCAAGAGGGTATAAAGATTTGGAAACAAATCGATACCCTTTATCAATAGACATCAGCCATCCAAGAGGATATAAAGATTTGGAAACAAATCGATACTCTTTATCAATAGAAGTCAGTCAGGTGGAAATATCGCCTGCCACTTCATCAATCAAACGCCTGCGTTTTCTATCAATCAAATCACATTTTTTTCTCTCTCCGATTTTCCAATATTTGTGGAGAAGATCAATAAATGATGAAAAAGGTTATACTAATACTTGTAGATGTGTTTTTGTTCAAGAAAAGAATGAGTGTTTAAAAAGACGAGAAGAGGCCATTGATTTTGGGGGGAAAATCTTACAACAAGATCTTTATTATTGGGGTGGAAATGTCAAGTTGACCCCCCAATCACAGTGGTCTCAGGTATTCTGGAAGAGAGAGCATGCCCAGATATACGTCTAAAGTAATTATTATATGGAGGCTCAAATTCATACATTTTTTTGAAATTTCTGGTTGACAAATTCAACTGCAGTATGGCATCAGGTATTATGGAAGTCTGTAACTCAAATTGACAAACACAATTGCAGAGAGGCCTTGCTAGTGTTAATTATCATAGTTGAGCTCAAAGTCAAAGTGTTTTTAAAAATACTTAATTGACAAACTCAATAATCAAGAAGATTGCAGTGTAGTGAAAGGAAAAGCATGTCCTTGCTTGAAGAAAGGAAATAAACGTGAATTCAAAAGTTCTGTTTCATGCCAAATCCATATTCTGAGTGTGAACCACTCTTGCGTTTATAATTCTATCACCATACAGATTTTGATAGACATAAACTTGTTTTTCCCTCATCATTCCCAGTGGAATTGTTTGTATTTTTTCTCTGCCCTACTGAACAGTTTGGACAGTTTTCCATTAAATAATGTTCTGGTAGAAATTAATGTCATATCTTATTTCAACTCAGTGATACAAAACCATAATAAAGTAATAGATATTTAGATGAATTGATGTCAGTGCTCTGGAAAATTTTTATTATTGTGCATTGTACCCTACACAGTATTGCATGCCTTCATAAACTAAATATGGTTTGTAAGGCAACATAAAAAATAAATATCCACTTCATTAAGAGCAGAGATCATCATGGTATAAAACTATCACTTCATTTCATACAAAATTTGTGAAAAACGGTAAAAAATGTAATAAAACTCCAATTGATTCCTTTGACTGAGTGAGAATTGTTACTTAGCTTATTAAGGTGCAAAAAGGTGGGATATATACAATCTATCTAATTAACCATAATAAGGTGCAAAAAGTAGGATGTAAAACTGTTTCATCTCAATGTAAGATTACATTGCAAGAAAGTCAGAGTATAAAACTCTATCTCATTTCATTTCCTCTTTGTGGCATGAAAAATGGTTTTGATGGATATAGTTTTCCCCTGATAATTATTTTAGTTATAAATATTGCTTTCACCTGACATGAGAGAAAAAAATCCTGTCATTTATATTTTATGAGTTAGAGAAATAGAATAGGATTTCTAGTAATATGTCAACTTCCCAATGAATAAAAAAAAAACCTGAGTAAAAATAGATACATTTATTGTGACAGTGGAATAAATTGAGAGTTTCTTATGAGATTCAGGCACACCATAATTTTTTAGTTTTGATATATATTTTACAAAATTTCTTTTTTAAAAATGAAAAATTATGCCATTTTCTCATTTTCAGCAGTGATAAACCCAGCTGACGATACTTCAGTTGTTACTATAGGGTGAGCAAGCATAAACTACCCTACTGGTAAAAACTGAAACAGTAATATTGTGTCTTAATATCCTCTAAGTTGGCTAACTTCTATCTTTACTTCGATCTTCATATCCTTAGGGTTGGCTTACTACTATCTTTACTTCAATCTTCAAATTCTCTAGGTTGGCTTACTGCGATCTTTACATTTTATCCACTTGACTAGGTCAGGTTGGCTTACTGCTATCTATACTGTTATCTATTTTGTATTAAGGCTAGCAAAAATGCCAACAGTAAAATGTTATTTCAAGATTGACAAAAAATCTATACTTACCAGAATTGGAGCAATCTTTGAATTTTGGAAATAAATTTTTAGAAAATCCAAGAGCATGAAAAATTTCATGTAGTGCTGTCTGGAACAGAAAATACATGAGAATATCTTAAGTGACAAGATTTTCTACTTTCATTTACATCTCTTACATAGGACATGAAAGAAGAGTATTAATAGCGTACATACCAACATGTACTATCAAGGATTATCCTGGATAGGAGTTATATAAATCACTGCGTCTGCCCTGTCCTGTTTGATTTTTCATCATTGTACACTACACTGACAAAAACTCTACTGGTAACCAAACCAATCATCATAAGTCATGTGAGAAGTTAAAATTTAAAATAGGAATGTAAAATCAAATTTTTTTTAATAATAGTACTGATGATATGAACAATTTTGATAAAACATAAATAATTTTGAGTTTCTGAATATTTTTTTTTAGTGTATCTTAATAATTTTGTTAAAGTTATGAATAATTCGAAAGAATTTTGAATAAATGTGTCTGATATCAAGATGTTATACTGATAGAATCAAGAGCCGAGGGGGAAATTTCTGTCTGGTTAATCAAAACTGATCTATAGAATGATAGTATGATTATTTAGTCTTATCATGGAGCTAATCAAATTATATTTTCCTTAAATATTCCAATGTCTATATAAAATCATGTTTCAAACAGATTTCAGTTTTAAAACTTATTAAGGGGAAGTACTTTCAATGAGAAAATCTCTTCAAACTACTAAAATGAAGCCTCCCACAAAAAAGAGACGCCTCTAAAATGAAATATGTCTATCCTATAACAAAACAAATTTGTTACTGGATTGCACTTCTTTCCATCTGGTAATTGTCAAAATATGGCTACTTACTGTATATAAATGCTGATCAGTAAAATGTTGATGTTTAAAAAACATTTCGGGACAAAAATTCACCACGCCTGCTATCGGACGGCCATTTTGATCTTCTTGACAACTACTTGCGTAACCATACACTTCATTATCCTGCAAAAACATTCTTTATTTTGTGGCATTTTCTATTATGTTTGGAGATATTTTGCTATGATAAAGTGAAAAAACTATGCAGATATTTGATTCAATGACCTTGAACCTTCTAGACCTTGCTGAGAAATTATCTCACTTCATATCCCTCCTTTTATAACAATATTTCCATTCCTTTCCCATGCGCATCCCTACTGACTCCAAAGACTAACAACAAGAGTTATCTAACCTGATGTTGACAGGTGGCAGTAGTTTGTGATGTAATATATAAAATAAAATCAGTATCCACCACCCCAGGACCTGGCTGATAAACTTCACGTAAAGGTTGATCATATGTTTTATTATAAAGATAAAGCCCTTCTAGATGCATCTTAGGTATCTGAAATAGATAGTTATTGTTATAATCAATTTACTTTTTCTTATCAAATGGGAATTTCTTATCATCATTTGAACCTTGCACTCTTATCAATAAATAGACTGGACCCTAGTTTACTTCATCCACATGGTTTCACATGCAGCTGAGAATTTTAACATCTCAAAACATAAGTTGGGTATGACAAATGTCTTGACTAATCAAAAGTATCCTGCTCTGCAGGTGTTCAAAATTACAAACACAAACTGTTCACATGACTAAGTGGAGTAGACCAATATCAGAGTTTCTCTCATGTACCTACCCTATAATGATCCAAACACAGCTCCCCTCCATACCCCTTCTTAGGCTTAAAACATCTACAAAATACAACAAAAACTTTATCATAGAAGGCAAATTAAATGAAATGTTCAAAATCATGTTTAATTGTTGTTAAAATTTTGTTGAAATATCTGTCCAGTTTTCATCTCTTGAGGGATGTTCTGCCATGCATCCTTTTTCATGTCAATACCTCTGACCTACATTATAACACCTTAAAGTTCTTAATGGCATAGGAGAATACAATCTTATTTGGTAAAGAGCAAAGGAGGATAGTTGGCTTTTTTTAAAACAAATATTGGCCAAACAAATGGTCCTTCAAATGCAAAGATGTAGATAGACAATGGATTTGAATAAAATGTAAGAACAAAAATTTGAAATAAAACACAAGTTTGATTATGAACTATAATAAAAAATGTCTCCCTCGGGTCTACTAACAACTGTCTATTACCTCTATCTTTTACACCATGAATCAATATCAATGATGGATAGAACGGAAATATCACACAGGCAAGACAGAATGAGATGAAAGTTACATTTCAAGGGGTAGATTCCTCTAGTAATTCAAATAGCACTCACTAAAATTTAAAGGTATCTATTCTCCTGAATACAATCCAAGAACTGAGACTTACTCACTTTTGCCTCAAATTTCATATTATTTTACACAGGGAAAGAATTCTACCCCTTGAAAATTATTTAGTTTCAACTCAGTCCCCCTTCCCAACCTGGTGATTCATAGAAACGCCACTGGACTCTAAACTAGAGTTAGGTAATGTCTGGTGCTTCTTTAACCCATAGTTAGGTGTTATCTCGTGTTTCTTAACCCAAGGTTAATTGATATCTGGGGTTTCAGACAACATCACAATAGTGAATCACCCTTTGGGATAGAGCAATACCTAGTGTTTTTATAAACAGACAGTTTAAAAAAGTGGACCACCCACCAGAACATAACCGGTAAAGTGGTGTTTGGTGTTTCTATAAACATACTGTAGTACTACAGTTGACAACTTTCTGGAATAAACTATATATTGTATAAAGTAGGTATCTATCTTGAATCATTATAAAGAGATCTTCATGTTGATCTAGACTGAAGAAAAGAAAGGGTATTTCCTGTAGAAGACATATATTAAGCCAGTGTTTTTTGAACATCTTCTTAGACTAAAGAGCTGAATCCATTAACTAATTTTGGACATTTATGTTGAACAAAAGCTATGGATATGAACATTGATATTATTTAATCAGTTTCCAAATTGATCATAAGATCTGTTTTTTAAATCCACTAAGCTGAATGAACGGTTTTGTAACTGCTTTGTAAAATTTATCAAGAGTTTTGCTCTTCAAGTAATAATTATTAGCAAATTGATAAACAGTGAGTGACTGATCACTCCAGTTTACCTTAACTAAATGTATCTTCTTATTGGTGAGCTGTTTTTACCATTGACTGAACTGAGTGATATGTTTTTGAATGTGAACAACAGGGTGCAGTGTCAATGAGATATGATTAGTAATATTTATTAACTACATTTAGCTGGGTTTACATATTTACTGAACTTTATTGAGTATAAACTTTAAAACAATTCGGTTCAATACAGGACCATCTTCAAAAATAAAACCCAGAGTTAGATGATGTTCTTTCTTTCTTTTAACAGACAGTAGTACCATAGAGGACAATGCTCAAGACACTAACAAAGAGTTAGGTGATGTCTGGTGTTTCTTTATACTCAGACAGTGAACAACTTTCTGGAATATAACCCACAGTCAGATGATGTTTCTATAACAGACAGTGAACAACTTTCTGGAATATAACCCACAGTCAGATAATGTTTGATGTTTCTATAACAGACAGTGAACAACTTTCTGGAATATAACCCACAGTTAGATGATGTTTGATGTTTCTATAACAGACAGTGAACAACTTTCTGGAATATAACCCACAGTTAGATAATGATTGATGTTTCTATAACAGACAGTGAACAACTTTCTGGAATATAACCCACAGTTAGATGATGTTTGGTGTTTCTATAATAGACAGTGAACAACTTTCTGGAATATAACCCACAGTTAGATGATGTTTGATGTTTCTATAACAGACAGTGAACAACTTTCTGGAATATAACCCACAGTCAGATATATTGATGTTTCTATAACAGACAGTGAACAACTTTCTGGAATATAACCCACAGTTAGATGATGTTTGATGTTTCTATAACAGACAGTGAACAACTTTCTGGAATATAACCCACAGTTAGATGATGTTTGATGTTTCTATAACAGACAGTGAACAACTTTCTGGAATATAACCCACAGTTAGATGATGTTTGATGTTTCTATAACAGACAGTGAACAACTTTCTGGAATATAACCCAGTCAGATGATGTTTCTATAACAGACAGTGAACAACTTTCTGGAATATAACCCACAGTCAGATAATGTTTGATGTTTCTATAACAGACAGTGAACAACTTTCTGGAATATAACCCACAGTTAGATGATGTTTGATGTTTCTATAACAGACAGTGACCAACTTTCTGGAATATAACCCACAGTTAGATGATGTTTGATGTTTCTATAACAGACAGTGAACAACTTTCTGGAATATAACCCACAGTTAGATGATGTTTGATGTTTCTATAACAGACAGTGACCAACTTTCTGGAATATAACCCACAGTTAGATGATGTTTGATGTTTCTATAACAGACAGTGACAACTTTCTGGAATATAACCCACAGTTAGATGATGATTGATGTTTCTAT